ATGCTCAGGTAACCAACTAAGCATATGCTTATAAAACTTAGTCCGCCTATTCAAACTCCTGCAGAGAATCTAATAGCATAGACATTCCCCTCAACAGACAAGCATTCTAGGATCTCTAAGCGAGGTCATAAAACCGAAACTCGTTAGTGATCGTGATCCAGAAATATAAATGATCAGAAACAAAATGGGATAAAAAAAAATCCTAAGGAAAAACTTTACTTCGGTGAAGGTATTATGTTCAGTAAATCTGAGCTCTCTCTTCTATTAACCTCCCTCTTTCATATAGAAAACGTTGTATGCCATTCCAACCCCAGCGCAAACATCCAGAATCCCATCATCCATGCGAATATAAACCATCATATATGGGAAACTTCTAGCAATCAGAAGCACAAAAGATACAAAAAACACCTCAAATGAGAGCAATATCACAACCAGAAACCGCAGCCCATGTTGAAAAATCTAGCTTCAAGTTATCAAGGCCGGTAAGAAAAACTCATAAAAAATTAATTCAAGAAACTTCAATCTATTCACTGCTAAATTAATAGCCATGCAGTATTCTAGCGATTAACATGTGCTAACAAACCATTTTTTCTCTTTTCAACAAACTCCAAAATACTGCCTCAGTTTATAACCATATCGTATTTGAAAAAAGAAACCAAAAGAAAATAGATCGCAAAATTCCTTGCATTTCTTTGCCAATCTTCAACGACTCCCACCAATCCAACAACAAAACCCCAATTCCCAAGAAAATCTGGAGAAAAAAGAAGAAAACGCGCTCTCGAACCAAAATCAAGTACCTTGGAGTCATGAACAAATTTCGCGATCAAACGCGTCAAAACTTCAAAGACGATTACAACCAGCGAAATACCCAGAAAAATTATCAACGATGCCTGAAAAACCAAACAAAAGAACAAATTCCTTACATTAACGATGTAATCAAAGAACAAATTACCAGAATCGCACTAAAAAAAGGGTTGTAATCAAAGATTCAAAAATCAACAAAATCCATTACATTAACGATGGAAAAGAACCCTAAAGCTCAAAATTAGCGAACAATCGAGACAAGAAATTGCAGGTATTGTTTAAAATCAAAATCAGGATGATAAATTTAAGTACGAAAGGGAACGGAAAGGGAACTGACCGAAGCCAAGAATGAATTTTTTTTTTCTTTCACTTTTTTGGTTCTTGGGAGAGAGGTAGAGAGAGAAAGAAGAGAGAGAGAGAGAGAGCGATCAATCCTTTTTTCTTTTCATCGCTCCTTCTCTAATTTCTGTGCATACATAATAACGAACACTTTTTTTTTTCTCTTTTTCTTCTTTTTTTTTTCTTTTTCTTTAACCGTTAAATTGCTGCGTCCGTAGTTTTCTATTTCTTGCCTTTTAAAAACAAATTAACTTAAAAGAAAAAGTTTTTTTTTATTTTTTTATTTTGAAATTTAGAATTACTTTCTGTAATTTAATAAAATATTTACAAGATTTTACCAAATTATAGAAATAAATTTAAAATGTTTAAATCATAGAGATTTAGATTTTCAATTTAATTGAATTATTTTATTTATTAAATAATAATAGAATCTAGGAAATCAAATTTTACCTTTTTGAGTATGGTGAATTGACGATGAGAAAAATTGAAATGAGAGCAGTATTGATTGGGTTAGTGTTGTTCGTTTGAAATGAGTAACAGTGTTGATTATGGTTAGTGTTGTTCGTTTGAAATGAATAACAGTATTGATTACGGTTAGGGTTGTTCGTTTGAAATCAGTAACAGTATTGATTACGGTTAGGGTTCTTCGTTTGAAATGAGTAGCAGTATTGATTAGGGTTAGTGTTGTTCGTTTCAAATGAGTAGCAGTATTGATTAGGGTTAGAGTTGTTTGTTTGAAATGAGTAGCAGTATTGATTAGGGTTAGGGTTGTTCATTTAAAATGAGTAGCAGTATTGATTAGGGGTTAGGGTTGTTCATTTAAAATGAGTAACAGTATTGATTAGGGGTTAGGGTTGTTCGTCTGTTAGTTTCAGTTGAGTTGGGTTTAATTGGATTGGATTGATCGAGTTCTTTTAAACACCTAATTTTTTTTAATTAAATTGGTCTAATTGGTTGCTCACCAATCTTCATGATCGTCATCTGCCTATGCATTTCTTCGTTCTCCCTCGATTTTCCCTCAAGCTCGCTCGCCCGGCCCTCTCTCTCTCTCTCTCATATTTACTTCCCAATCATGCATTGTCGGTGTTCTCACTCGTGACTGTACCAACGCAGTCTTTCTCTCATGCCACTAAAGCACGTCGTCATTGCTACAAAATCCCCTCTCGTACTATTTGCCAATTACCTATCGTCATTCTCTTCTTTTTAGTTAATGGTCGGTCTCTCTCACGATCCTCTCTCACACACACCTTCCTCTTTGCCTTAGGGTTAGGTTTTGATGTCTACTATTACTTGAGCGCTCATAAATCATAAATGTTATGGGATTGAAGGGAATGTATGTATGTCATATATGTTATTGACCACATCGTTATGCATAGCATATATATATATATATATAATTGTTTAATTATTGAGTTTATAAATTATCTATTAAGTTGAATATATTTTTGAAGGATTGGAATGGGAATAAATTAGGTATTAATTAGGTGCCAACCAAATAATGACACGTGGAATTGGGCAAAAAGTGTGGGTTAGCTAAAGAATAACCCAATTTCCAACCAACCCCCAAAATGTTATGAATTAAAATTTTAATTTTCAAAATAAATAAATAAATAAATATAAATGAATCTATTAAATACAATTTTAGTGGTGGATAAATAAATATAAACGAATTATTTATAATTATTTTGTTTTATTTTATTTTTATTTTTATTCATAAAATATGGCAAGAAATAAATGATTAAAATGGTATAATAATAATAATAATAATAATAATAATAATAATAATAATAATAATAATAATAATAATAATAATAAAATGTAAAGGCATATTCTTTGAGTGTAAAGTTTGGGATCCATCAAAATTTATAGGTAAGGCAATGGTTTTTGCTACTTTGTGGGCCCATCTTTACTTGTTGATGTGATCTTTTAATTTCCTTTTGAAGATAAATAAATTATTATATTTAAAAAAATGATTTTTATTTTTTTTTAATGTTGCAAAGTGAATAAATAAAAGTATTCTAAAAATAATTATAATTTAATTATTTGTCAAATGAAAATAAATGGCTTTGATGAAGATGCCAAACTTTTCTAAATAAGTTATAATAATTAAATATTTGAGCTTGAAATATAAAATATAACTATATAAGTCAATTTTAACTACAAATTATTTAATAATCATAAATCTTTTTAATTTGATAAAACAAATAAAAATGACTAAATAATATTTTTTAATTTATTGAAAATATAAGAATTAAAATTGGACTCGACGGTAATTTAATTCAATATTATTTATTAAATCTTTTTTTTTAATCCAAATTTGATTTAAATAAATTTAAAATGAAATTTATTAAACAATTTTTAACCAAACAATTGTGGTCTTACTTTGACATTCAACTCAATAGTCATGGGCATGACCCTTTTCACCATTTGACTAATATTTGGTTGACTTTCTTAGCCCTGTCAACCCTATACAAATTAGATAAACATTTGATTAAGAATAATTTTAAAGATTGATAATTTGATCATTCATCCGATTTGGATTTCAAATTTTTATGGTGGATAATGTTTTAGTACGAGGTAGAAAAAGACAATTGACAATTAACTAATATTTTATTCATTAAATCGTAAATGATCACAACCACGAATTCTTTAATATGCTAGAATTTTGTGTAGTGCCGTTAATTGAAAAATAAATACGATTAAATATGATTAAAACTTTAAAAAATATTAGGAACAAATATATATATATATATATATACATACATACATATACATACACACGTACGTATGTGTATGTATAAACAAAGGAATCTTCAACACCTTTGCTTGGAGAGAGGGAAGACGGAAGGTGATACCTCCATTGATAGGTAATGAGCTGGCATTGCCTTTGTTGGGAGGTTTCATATATATATATATATATATTAAATTTATTTATTATTGTTTAAATATAACTGTTATATTATATACCATGCCTCTTTTTAAAAGAGTTTGTGAAAAAAATATTATTTGGTCAAATTTTACTGTAAAATAGATTCAAATTAGATAAGTAAGAAGATTTGAATCTTTAATTTCAAAATATATAATATATATTAATAATTATTTATGAATTCAATTCAATTTAATTTTAATAATTTTTTTGGGATAATAATAAAGTAAAAATTTTGAATGTTAAAAGATTAAGGATTAATAAAAAAAAAATAGTTAAATACATTACCTTTATAAGGTAGGTTAATCAGCCATTACCTTTTAAGTCATGTATTAATTAACATTAGAATTATATGAATAACACGTTTCATGAGAATTTTAAAGAACAATAATATCAACCAAGTTTGTTTTCCATAAATTTTCTCTCTCTTAATTTTATACCCTTTTTAAAGAGAGAGAGAGAGAGAGAGATAGGTGGGAGGATAGCCCACAATATTTTCTTAGGGGAGGAAATTGCCCACAGATTCTTGTCAAAGTTTTTGCCCCAAACTTTACACTAAACCAAGGCATCCTTTTATTATAAAGATTGGGAAGGGATTAGGATGATCTCGTCCCCATGAGTTAGACATTACGTGTGTTTGCAAGGACGCCGGCCCCCAAGAGATAAATTATGAAATCCTGAGTTTGGACTATTATAAATAGATGTGGATTGTGAGATCTATAAAACATTTTTATAAGAGTGTGAAAACCTCTTCCATTGGTTGGAAACATTCTTGATAAGGGTGTGAAAACCTCTCCCTGTGGACAGGTTTTAAAATCTTGAAAGAAAGTCGAGAAGAAAAGCTCAAAAATGACAATATTTGCTAGTAGTGAGCTTGAATGGTGTTCAATATGATATCTAATTAGATTTTCAATAGGCATATACTTACATCGTTTAGAAGACTTGATAACTAGTTTATTGCTTTTAAGTGCCACATGAAAGTTGAGGCCTCCACCTCCACTAGAAATATACAAGCAGGCAGGCAGATAATCCCATTGAGATCATCAGAGCAAAACACAAAGTACAGAACTTTTGCAACTTTCAGCTCCAGGTTATTACACTAAAACATTTCATTCAAATGATTTGGCTACAACTCTTTACTGAAACTACACACATTCCCTATCTATCACCTTTTAATCTTCACATCCATAGCGTTATAAGAGAATCATGTTGTTCCAGGCTCTAGCTTCCCCCCGACATTACCGACCCCCTTCCATGTATAAAGGGCAATCCGTTACATTTCTCAAAAGTTTTCGCTCTCCATAGATGATTATTCCTCTGATTTTTGAGGTTTATTCTTATTGCCGTATATCAAACCAGTCTCCTGGGGATCAGGAATAGGTTTCCTCTTCTCGATGTATCGATAAGGATCCGTGGCTGCAAGAGCAGCTCTTTCTTGCTGTTCACGTTTGAGGTCTTGGGAAGGCTTGACCCAGAGGAAGTAGGCAAGAGTTCCAGCGACTACCCAGGAAGCAAGATTGGTACCGCCTCGGAGACCGCCCATGGAGTTGCCGATGAAGGACCTGACATTCCCAACCGTTCTTCTCCAACTGCTAGTCATTGTAAGGAAAAAAACCAGACAAAATAGAAACCAAGGAAGAATTCAGAAGACAAACTATGTTTCAATGTACGATGGAAAATATACCAAAAATCAGTAGAAATCGACAGATATAAATGGGCAAATACTTGTATCATTTTTAATGGGAATGTAGAGATCAAATATAAAGGCTAAACCGAAAAGAACGTTTTATAAATAATGAAAGTCCGGCAAACCAGAAAACAAAATGAAAATGAACTTATAGACAGCGATTTAGACAGATGAAAATAAGACAGAAGATCGAGAAAAACAAGGACAAATTAAGAAGATGATGTACTAACTAAGGACAAATTAAGAAGATGATGTACTAACTAAGGACAAATTAAGAAGATAATGTACTAACGTGGAAAAAGTAGAGAACAAGATTGTAACGGCTCAAGCCCACCGTTAGTAGATATTGTCATCTTTGGGCTTTCCCTTTCGAGCTTCTCCTCAAGGTTTTTAAAATGCGTATGCTAAAGAATGCTTCGTTCTCCTCCCCCAACTGATGTGGCATCTCACAATCCACCCCCAGATGGGGCCCAACGCCTTCGCTGGCAATCGTTCCCTTCTCCCATCGATGTGGACCCCTAGTCCACCCTCTTTCAAGGCCTAGCATCCTTGCTGGCACACCGCCTCGTGTCCACCCCCATTCCGGGCTCTACCTGCTCGCTGGCACATCGTCCGGTGTCTGGCTCTCATATAATTTGTAACGGTCCAAGCCTACCGCTAGCAGATATTGTCCCTCTTTGGGCTTTTCCTTTCGGACTTCCCCTCAAGGTTTTTAAAACGCATCTGATAGGGAGAAGTTTCCACACCCTTATAAAGAATGTTTCGTTCTCCTCCTCAACCAATGTGGAATCTCACAAAGATGGTAGAGAGAAAACTATAAACTGGCAAGGATAGGTAGCTTTGATGTTCATAGAACCCAGTCAACTAGTACAATATTGAAATAAAATAGATAGAAGAGCTACAATATAATCCAAGTATTTGAGGTACTTGGAGTTTGGACCCTCCCCTCTCTTGAGTATACACACTCAGCCAAAACCATCAAAGCAATGGTCGAGCTTTCTCTTCGCCCAAATTGACTCCTAACAAACTCCTCGAACTAATAACTAATACACCCCAAACACTCTAATAACATCCATAACCAGCCTAATACCATACCATTCCTATCAGTTGTCTATGTTTATTTGAAACAGAAACCATTTGAAGAAATAAACATCTCCTCTTACTAAACACCCCTCAGAGCCTGAATTAGACATCGGATTAAGAAGCCATAATTGAAAGATGTACTCATCTGATGTCGGTACCCACGTCTACTGATACCGAGTAGCCACCAGCCACTTAAGAAACACCAGAGTTAATCTTTGATTTTAAATTCTAAGCTAACCAACTAAGCATAAGCATTAACTTAGACAACCATTCAAAATCCTGCAGAGAATATAATAGCACAGACGTTCCCTGTACAGCCATGTATTCTATGATCCTATAAGCAAATTCATAACTCACTAGGATCAATAAGGGATCATGATCCAAAACAAGAAATCTAAGGCAGAACTTTACTTAGGTCTAGGTATTTTGTTCAGTAAATCTGAGATTTCTCTTCTATTAACCTGCCTTTTCATAAAGAAAATGTTACATATTGTCATTCATTCCAAAATTCTATCATCCAAGCGAATAAACCACCACATATGGGAATTTCTAAGCAATCAAAACCACAAAAGATTCAAAGCATCATAGCAGATACACCTTAAGTGAGACTCAAATAAAAACCAGTCCATTCTTAAAATCTAGATCGAAAATATTCACGAATTTCTCTACTAATCCTCAACGGTTCACACCAATCCAACAAGAAAAAACCAATTCGCAAGAAAACCTAAACATAGATGAAGAAAAGGACTCTGAAACCAAAATCAGGTACCTTGAAGTCATTATCAAATTGAGCGATCAAACGCGTCTATGCATCAAAGACGATTACAGCCGATGAAGGAGCAGGACAAATATCAGTGAAGCCTGAAAAAAATCGAACAAAAAACTGAGTTTCATCACCACAATCGCACCCAAAAAAGGGGCCGGGGCCCAATCAAACATTGAAGATCAACAAAATTCATTAAATTACCGATGGGAAAGAACCCTAAAGCTCAAATTCATAAGAATAATCAAGCTAAGAGGTAGCTGGCAGGCGCTGTTAAAAATCAAAATCAGGATGATAAATTGAAGCACGAAAGAGAACGGAAGAGCCGAGATTTATTACGATTTAAATTTTAAAAAAATAAATTTACTATTAATTTTGGACACTTTATTTTTTAAAAAAATTCGAATTATATTTAAAAAATACTTTCAAATTTAGTAAATATTTTATTTACCCATAATTTTAAACTTTTATAAAAAAAATTAAAAATAATTTCGTTTATGTACCGATGGTAATGACATTTTTTTTTAAAGTTTTTTATAAAATTTTTGTTTTGAAGTTAATATTTTTTTTTTAATGGTATTAATAATTTTTTTAAAATTCCTCCTGTGTGAAAGTACAAAACTGTCCTCCATACTCGTACTAGCCTGCATGGCTGGCGACGTATATGGCATTATTATTTTTTTCGGTAGTTATAGAATTTAGTTGGGGGTATTTTCGTAAAATAACGAAAGAACTTTTAATCTATAAATAAAATCCCCTTTCTTCAATTTCAATCCTTATTCTTCAATTTGACCAGCGAGACGACTGCAACAGCGAAAGATAATCCATCCCAATTCGATCAGCAATCAGGTACGACGACTTTGTTCTCTCTTTTCTTAGGGTTCATAGTTCTAGGGTTTTTACTATGCTTTCAATTTGCAGATTATGTGCTCTTTTCTTACTTCCTGCCACCTAGGGTTCTATTCTACCCGTGACAAGAATGGGATTTTCCTGAGCTTTTAGTTATTGTTTGCTTTTGATTCTTTCCGTAGTCGATGAACTGATTTTTTCGGGTTATGGAACTTGTATCTTTTATACTGGTTTTATTTTGGTCGTTCATGAGTTGAACACGAATGTTTTGGGATTATAAGAATTGGTAGCTTATTGAATGATTAATATGCTCGAAAGATTGTCTTTATGGCCTTTTAAGTTTCATTGCATCCTCGTTTTGAAGACTGATTAGTAGTGATGTTGTTTATGGATGTGGACAGCCTCAAGCCATAAGAAATGGGGAAAAGGAAGTCGAGAGCAAAGCCCCCACCTAAGAAGAGAATGGACAAGCTTGATACTGTTTTTAGCTGCCCCTTCTGCAATCATGGCACCAGTGTGGAATGTCGCATGTATGTCTGCATTTGGTTCATTTTTGGTTCTAGTAACTTGGAGAAGGGATTTGTTTGAAAGATTTTAGTTGAGGCACAATGAAAAAGCTGGTTATGATATGTATTATCATTAGCTTGTCTCATGGATTAGTCTCTCTGTTTATGTGCCTCATTTGTTTTGTATTGTGACGAGGGTGTTTGTATGGTTTTAGTGATATGAAGAACTTGATTGGGGAAGCCTCCTGTGGAATTTGCCAAGAAGGCTTTAGCACATCCATTACAGGTATTCTCTTCAAGCCTCTAATTCTACGAGTGTTCTTGCCTTTTCCCATCTGTTTTGTTTGTTTCAATTTATGCTTTATATTATGATGCGATTGAAGCATTTTAGGATTCTTTATGTTTGAATAGTTTGAGTTTGGTCTGAACTCTACCTAGGCTCATGGGAGTATTCTAATGAACCCCATTTTTCTCACAAAATAGATGGATTATGGAAGATTTCTTTTGCAGTTGTCCCTTCCCCATTCGCGACTATAATTTCGTTCCTGTTGTAGGGAAGTTTATAAATGCTAGGGGTGTATATCCAACCCGGACTAGCCCAACCCGAATTATAAGGATTGAGTTGGGTTGAATTAGTATTTCTGGTTGGGTTGGGTTATTTTTCCTGAACCCGAAGCTGTTTTGGAAGTGGTTTTGGTTTCGGGTTTATTGGACAAAATTTTTGGTTTGACCCAAACTAAAAAAAAGTTATATATATATACGCTAAGAAATCAAGTATGTTCATGGGTTTGGCAGAGTGGTAATTCTGGTGTTATAGAATTACTCTATGCGTGCAGGTTCGAATCCAGTCAAATTTATTATTTAATTTCTTTTATATATTTTAAATCTCTCCATTTACTTTTTATTTTTATTGTTTTTTAATTTTACAATATATCCTTTTTATTGTTTTTTAATTTTATGGACAATATATCCTTTTTATTGTTTTTTAATTTTATGGTGTATCTTATATTTTCTTTATTTTTAGAGTAATCAATTCCCAAACGTCAGTATTTAGTTATTGATTTGTGTTGTTTGTCAATTTTTAATATCTTCCATCTAACATAATAATTATGAATTATGATTAAATAAAAAAATTAATTTTTTTTTTTTAAAAAAAATGTTAAAATAGGGGTTGAGTTGTGAAAATTTTTGGATTGGGTCAAAAAAAGCCCTCGACCCAAGCAGACCATTTACACCTCTAATAAATGCAATGCGGTCTAAGTGTAGGTCACTATCTATGATTTAGTTTAACCTGTGTCTAATACGGGGCTTACAGGTTGTTGTCATTAGTCTGTCTTGGGATAATTAAGGTGCACTAATATTTCTTCTCTTTTATTTTACAGCCTTAAGCGAGCCAATAGACATGTAAGTAAAAAGTAAATGCAGTTGGTTTTTGTCAATATTAATGTTCTATAGTGCTTCGGTTGACATGATGTTGTTTTGATATCAGATATAGCGAATGGATCGATGAATGTGAGCGGGTCAACAACCCTGAAGACGATGGTGCTTAGGGGGATCAATTGGGGCGTTTTCTGTATGAAAAGAAGCTGGCTAGTTCAAAGTTCCTTTGATGAATCTAAATTAAGAGGAGGGGGTCTTATTGGTAGGTATGACAACACTCCTACTCTCATAGCGTGTATGTACAACAGTAGTATGTTGTGATAGACAAGCGTGTGTTGTACAGTAATATGTTGTGATGGTTTTCATGTTGACTTGATCTTGAATTTTACGTACCTGTAACTTTGTTTCTGTTAAAGATATTTAGTAATAAATTATAGTTTACCATATATATTATATTTGCCTTATTATTATAGGTATCTTCCCATTTATTGTTATTTCCATTTATTACTATTTCCATATCCTTGTAATTTATTTGATTATAAATAGGACAACTTTCACACCATTTAGATGTGGTGGATTAATCAAACATTCACATGGTATCAGAGCCCTTTCGGTTTAACAATCGTGATCCTTTCTTTTCAATGGCTTTTGAATCCTCTAATCTTCTTCTCTACCACCCCTGCTGGTTTTGACGCCGCAGGGGCAGTCTTCATGGCTGCCGTAGTCGGAGCCGATTGATTACTCTTCGGCTCCACCCTATTGACCTCCAAATCACCTTTCGTCATACTCTGTACATACAACCTCACCTTTTCCAACCAAATCGGTTTTCCCTTTGGCCAATATAGTCTCTCTCATTTTCTTCCCAATCAACCTTCATCCTTCACATAAACCCTAACCTAAACCTATCAACCTTTTGCAGAGATTTACCTTCGGAATTTGGGTGCCGCACTGGCCTATTCGCCAACCAAGTTGCCGCCGCCCTTCCTGCCAAAATGGCTTCTTCGCTCGATGAGGCGACTCTTCCGACTGCCCTTCTCGCCAAAATTGGCTCCTTCGCCCAATGTGGTGACTCTTCCGGCTTCAACATTGTCTTTGTTCCTTGCTCTAGGTTTCCCCTTCTACTTCTTGGGGTTAGAAATATTCTCACCAGAGCCAAGGCAGCATCGTCGCTAAGCGACAATCTCTCTTCATAGGTTAGACATATTCTCGCCGAAGCCAAGGCAGCATCGCCGCTGAGCGGCGATCCCTCTGCAATTTTTGATGGCCAAGAACCGGGTTGTTAGCATCTTCATGAAAAGTGTTTCTCAACCTCTTTGAATTTTTCAGATTCAAGCTTCACGTTCGTTTAAATCCGACGCTTAGCTTGCAGTGGGGTATTAAGGATATTTAGTAATAAATTATAGTTTACCATATATATTATATTTGATATTTTATTATAAGGCAAATATCTAATATTTGCCTTATTATTATAGGTATCTTTCCATTTATTGTTATTTCCATATCCTTATAATTTATTTGATTATAAATAAGACAACTTTCACACCATTTAGGTGTGGTGAATTAATCAAACATTCTTAGTTTTCTTATTTTGAGTCACCAATCTTGTGGACACAAAAAGTAAATGTTTCTGCTAATTTTCATCCAAATGGAAATTGGGATCGTGAAACCTCATTTTGTTAGTGAAATATTGTTGAAGGGTGTTCTATTTTATTTTGTTTTGTGTCGATGATAGGTTTTATTTTCCGTCTAGACTCTTAGAAAGTTAAGTTGAATCCCTTTTATAAACGAAGACGATGAGATGAAGGTGCTATAAATTGTTCAAAACTAAGACCGTTGTATTGTTAACTGGGAGGAGAGATTTCTTTCCACTCAGCTAAGTCGGGCTTGGGAATGAGATTATATTTCATGTGTCCAACCCTACCGTGAGCCACCCCACATAAATTAGATTGATTTCTCGATACTATGTGAAATCTTCTAATTTTTGTTGGCAATTCTCAGATTTAATTATATATGATCACAAAATTATGAAAAACTTTTTCCTTGTTTTTGTTTATATTCTTTTTCTACCGTATTTTGGAAGACTATTTTACCTCTTTTTTATTTTTTTGTTTTTTACAAGGCAAATGAGAGCGGTATTATTACGTCACATATACATACATTTATACATATATATATATATATATATATATATATATATATATATATATATTATATTGAAAAAAGTATTTAAATAAATAAATAAGGAAAAAAAACTAGTGGTGTGCGTATTTAGTAAACCCGTGAGAAAAAAACTGCTCACGGCGCCCACCGATTTTCTATAATTTTCAGCACCTCCCACTTTGTAACTGAAAATTGCACTCACACCCTTCGCATGTTCCCCTTTTATCACATACGTTTTCCTTTCCAAATTTTGTTAATTCCCCCCCTTTTTTTTTTTAAAAATTATCTTTATAAACGTTGTTATAAAATCAATAAACAAACAATTATCCATATTATTTTCTTAATGTATATCTAAAACTATTATTATGTTCTTATATGATATCTAAAGTTATTTCGACGAGTATTAATCATTCATGATATAACGGTAATATTATTATTATTATGTTCTTAAATGATATCTAAAACTATTTCCACAATGAAGACAAATCGTCGACTTTCCAAGTGTAGTCTTCAATTAAACAGATGAAATCTAATTTAGGGTAAAACGTTCGACAAAAACACGAATGTTCCAAAATATCAAGCCGTTATTACAGTTATATGTCCTCTTAAGGAAAAGAAAAATCGGAGAACTCTTTTACGACAAAAGAAAATTCAATGAAATTCATAATCGAAGCTGATGTACAACGACACATCTCTAGTGAGTTTTAGAGAATTTTTTATTTTTGTAAAGTCAAACATCCAAAAAATATAACCAATAATTGAAAATATAGAATTTAAAATGGATCGATGAGGGTGAGAGTTCGAAAAATGAAGAACCAATCTAATGCTAAAACCTAAATAAGAATATGCAGAGATTTGGGTTTTAGTTCTTTTTTGAGGTACACAATTTTGATATTTGGTACGGAATCACCTGGGCATTTTGTTTTGCCCCCCAAAACCATGAATTTTGGGCTTAAAGCTTCAATTTCTCTCTCTATCATCATCATCATATATATATATATATATGTATCGATGCACATTTATTTATATACTCGCTCAAAGTTTTCCCGAAATAACGAATTTCTGAAGACGGGATCTTCAATTCTGATTTTTTTCTTGGTACTTTTTCTCAGTTTCTCTCTTTGATTCTTTGATAGTGACGGCGAAATCAGTGAAACCACACAGGAAAGCTTAGCTTATGGGTCGGCCTCCCAGCAATGGAGGCCCTGCCTTCCGTTTCACTGCTCCCGAGGTTTTTCTCCGCTTCTTCTTCTTCTACCTCCTCCGCTTTTGTTCGTTTTCTTTATCTGAATGATGTGTTTGTGATGCATGTTGATGTTGGTGCTGGAAATTTTTCTTAGCTCAATTCCTGTGTTTATTGGCTTGATTGTTTGTTGATTCTTGTGGTTGTTTTGTTCGTTTCATGGAGGGTTCTAATCGTGTTCTTCTGAACTGATTGGCTGTTCTTCTGCTTTCTTTCTTTTTTATTTTCCATTCCATTTCTTGTTCTACTGGTAATTGTGCTTTTCCCCTTTTGAATTTTGATGTCCGTTTTCCAATTACTGCATAGAGTTGATGCTATGGTTAGTTTAGGTAGCTGCATGTAAATAAGAACTGCTGAAAGGGGGCTTGTTGGATAGCGATAATTTGGAAGAAGAGTGTCCTTTTCGAGCTTGAGTTTTGACAAAAATTTGTATAGATCTAATTCAATCTGCTAGAAGTTCATTAGTTTTGCTGCTGGATGCTGTTTATTCTACAAGGAATTGATAATGACTTCAATCAAATGAAGTTTTTATTGCTTGCTCTAAGGCTATTACTATAGTTCTTTCTCAACTTAGTAATCAAATGGGATATGCTTCCTCGAAGCTGCCGGTGCTGTAACGTTCGCTTCTTATTTTGATTAAGGTTGCGGAGATGGAGGCTATACTGCAAGGACACAATAATACCATGCCGTCTCGGGAAGTTCTGGTTTCTCTTGCTGGGAAGTTCAGGTGGACATTCTGCATTGCTTACTATGACTTTTATATGATTTGAATTGCTCTTTTTGTGTAGAGAATAATTTGTTTATGTTGTTTGTAGTGAATCGGTTGAACGGAAAGGGAAGATTGCTGTGCAAATGAAGCAAGTATGGTGGCCGTACTTGACGTTTATATGATAGGTAATGTCGTTTTACTGATTATTATTGTTATTTTGTAGGTTTGGAATTGGTTCCAGAATAGGCGATATGCTATCAGAGCAAAGACAACAAAGGTTCCCGGAAAGTTGGCTGTCTCTCCAATTGTCCAAGTCGAGTCAACACCCCCGAGAAATGTGCCTCAAACCATAGTTGTTCCTGCTCCCACACTAGTAGGTATTAAAAAAATCGCTATGTTTTATCAATGTTTAAAGATTTTCATTTTCTTATCCTTTTTTTTCTCTTATCATATGTTTGTTATTAGCTTATTGTTACGAAATCTATCGTAGTAGTAGAATGGCATCTGTTAAAAGCCTCTGTCCGGGCTAACATCATAATTTCAAAACTTTTCCTCTTTTGGTCGCTAGTCAGGTGAGGAGGTATATCTGGAAGCATGGGAGCTTTTATGGCCTTTAATCTTCATTTTAAGTACTGTTCTTATGAGATTTCTATGAAAAAACCAATTGCAAAGTGGCTGCTTGCAAGTTTCCGCGTTCAAAAGATCCTACTCTGTACAAAAAGAAGTTAGATGTTTTTTATAATGCCAGGGTTTATCGCACAAGTATTGTTTTTTCAATTGGAACATATTGTTTATGGTATTCCAGCAAAAAGTTCGTATGGTGCAACAACCCAAGCCCATCGCTAGTAGATATTATTCGCTTTGGCTGTTACGTATTGTCGTCAGCCTCACGGTTTTAAAGTGTGTCTACTAGGGAGGTTTCCATACCCTTATAAGAAATGTTTCGTTTCCCTCTCCAACCAATGTAGGATCTCACAATCCACCCCTACCCCTAGGGGGCCCAGCGTCCTCACTAGCACATCACCCAGTATCTAGCTCTGATACCATTTGTAACATCTCAAGCCTACCGCTAGTAGATAGTGTCCGCTTTGACCCATTATGTATCGTCGTTAGCCTCATGATTTTAAATACATCTACTAGGGAGAGATTTCAACCCTCTTATAAGGAATGTTTTGTTCCCCTCTCCAATCAAGGTGAGATCTCACAATCCACTCCTTTTAGGTGGCCCAACGTCTTCGTTGGCACACCGCCTAGTGTTTGTCTCTAATACTATTTGTTGCCCAAGCTCACCACTAGTAGATATTGTCCTTGGCCCATTACTTATCGTCATCAACTTCACGGTTTTAAAACGCATCTACTAGGATGATGTTTCTATACCCTTATAAGGAATGCTTCGTTCTCATTTCTAACCGATGTGAGATCTTAGTCTTGATATACCTTATTCCATAATATTGTTGTAGTTAACTTAAATCTCCAAATATGTTATAAAAAGAAAATTTAACCTATCCCACGATGGTTATCAATACAAACTTTCTCAATCCTAGAGTCTCAAGTATTAGAAATCGATGATAAATTGTTTTTCTGTAAATCATGGGCTGACCATGTTTATGGCCTGTGAAGAACCATAATTTTTAAAATGACATGGTGTGGAAAGCTATGAACCACAGATACATTAGTTTGGATAGCATGTGATTCTAGATTTGCTTTTTAAAGATGATTCATATTTAAACATGTTGGTATCAACATCTTTTAATTTTTCATTCAATTTCTGTACCAAATTCCAGGACCCCTAAAGCGTGCTCCAGACAATCCATTGTCGGAATTTGAAGCTAAATCTGGGAGGGATGGTGCATGGTTAGTATAGCTTGTCTTCTGCTTTAGGATGATAAACTTCTTCATGACAGGCGTAAATGAACAATTGTACACATGTTTTCATCACATTAAAAGTCGATAATTGATTCTTTTAACTGTTTATGATATGTTTCAGGTACGACGTTGCTACCTTTTTATCCCATAGATCTGTGGAAAGTGGTGACCCGGTAATTTTGCACTCATTCCCTTGCACGCATGTTATTCTTCAACCTATTTTCTGGTCAGTTATTCATGCTTGAATTATTTATGCTTTATGAAAACCGAACACGGAAGTATGAAGCCAAATAGTTCTTGTACGGCCGCTCTCTCCATTTATAGAAAAATATTACAGTTTGTAGTCTCTACTGTCTTCTATCTCAACGATCGGGCCTGATGTCAAGGGCCTCTGGATTCATTACTGTGTTTGTGGGTTCAAAATCTTTTGGATCACATTCTCAACCCTATGAGTTTCTAAGTATTTTATGAGTTCTCGAAATATTTTGACTTGAGAGTTAAAATTGCCCTGGATTTTTCTCCACCCAATCCTTTTCTCCTTCACTACCTCTGAGTTTGCAACATCATATTGTATGTTAACCAACAACACCTTATGTAACAGCCCAAGCCCACCGCTAGCGGATATTGTCCTCTCTGGGCTTTCTCTCAAGGTTTTTAAAACGCGTCTGCTAGGGAGAGGTTTCCACACCCTTATAAAGATGGCTTCGTTCTCTTCCCCAACAAATGTGAAATCTCACACATTATTGGGCCAATATTTTGGCGTTTCTATAAAATGCTCCAAGATATGTAGTTGATTGTAACCCAAAAGTTTGTCCTCCGATTTCTCCGATTCGTTTTTTCCGGTAGAACAAATGTTGGGGTAGTAGGGGTTTGATCCTTGAACTTCAAAGGAACGAGTAGATGCCTTAACCATTGGGCTATGCTTATGATTTGTAAAGATATCACATGCTTCGTTTTGTTTGCGTTCATCTGAGTCCCTGCATTGCCTAAAAATTGTTGTTTGCCAGGAAGTACTAGTTAGATTTGCTGGTTTTGGATCAGATGAAGATGAGTGGGTTAATGTCAGAAGGAACATTAGACCTCGTTCTCTACCTTGTGAATCTTCAGAATGTGTGGCAGTTCTTCCAGGCGACCTCATCTTATGCTTTCAGGTAAAAACTTTTATTTTCCCTTGAAGCGAGGCCATTCCATCACCTTCTTGCTATCGATTCAGGATAATCTCGTTTACTAGATCTTTCGATATTGGACATATAATTTCAGGAGGGTAAAGAGCAGGCACTTTACTTTGATGCCCATGTGCTTGATACACAAAGAAGAAGACATGATGTACGAGGTTGTCGCTGCAGGTTTTTGGTCCGTTATGATCACGATCAATGTGAGGTGCGTATCTTCTTCATGAACGCAATACTGCATGAATTGTGATATGTTCATAAACGTCTAACTTAATCATGCACTCAATGCTGTTTAGGATTCTATAATTGACTTGGCTTGCTCTAAATGAATGTTAGGAAATTGTTCAGTTGAGAAAGATTTGTCGTCGGCCTGAGACCGACCACAGGTTGCTACAGCTTCATGCTGTAAACGAAGCAGCATCGATGGAGCCCTCAAGAACTGGCATGGATTCTGTACTGCTCAGTGGTCAGACGATAAGTTTCGAGGCAACCCAAAAGCTACTCAACAAGGATGCAACCATCGTTATACCAAATGCAAATGCAAATATAAATGTCCATGCCCAAACTAGTACTCAGGAAGCAAGGAATACAGTCACTAACAGCGCCCCAGCCGTATTCAACGTTGGTAATCACGCAGGTAGCTCTGCTTCTCGAGCGGTATCATGACCAGCTCTGTGTCTGGTATGTCAGCAGACAATGTGTCTGAATGGGAAGTTAGTTGATTATGGAAAAACTTCCTTCCATCAGTCTAATCTTAACCGAACCTATCAATTTAAAATTTTGCCCGACTCGTTTTTTTAGGATGAGTAAATACACAGTGAAGTCTGTTTTTGCCCCATGTTTCAAAGTGATAGCTTCCCATCCACTTGCTTTGAATGCTGAACGTTCTCGACCGATGAAACATGCAAGAGCCACACCTCGATCGTAGTATCGAACAGGTCAGAGGCATCATCTCTCTTGTTTTACTTTTTTCTTCTCTGCTTAGCCAAGCCAAACCAAACCAAACCATGGCTCTACACTGATCATAAATCTTACTGCTTAGTTTTCCCATAGAGCTGTGCCGATTACCAAATTTTACTAACGATATCGATGCACTCGACAAAGGGTTCTCTTCGAATTGTTAAATGCCATGTGAAAAACTGGACTTGTTTGTGTACCTTTGGCTGAAGGGCAGTCAACTTAATGCATTACAGGAACCTTTAGATATACATTCTTTCTGTTCTGTTCAAGAAAAGTCCTTTTGGACTCGACTCGAGCCCTCTTTTGGATGATACTTTACGAAGTATTATATCGTATGGGTCGGTAATATCTTATTAGCCATATCATCGGTGATGCTTAATCAGTTCGGCAAAATATCTCTGAACTTTAAAAAAAAGTTCGAACTTTTTTTTTTTTTTTTTAATAATTTTAACTTAAATTGAGTTGGATGATGTCACGTATGTATTTAATTTTTACACATTAATTGTGTTAATTTTTATTTGTTGGGTTGATGAAAATATTTTAAATATTTTTTTCTTAAAATAAATGCAAAATTCAAACGTTAAAGGTTTTTTTTTTCTTTCAAAACTGATGAGAATAATTGAAATTAGAGATTAAATTCATTAACAATATATATTTCGATACGACATTTATTATTACCTTAATTTTTTTTATAAAAAAAAAAATGTCTAATTATATATTAGAAATTTCGAATGTGTTCAGATGATTTCATTGAACAAATAATTATAATATATAAAATTAAGAGACTAATATTTTTAAAAAATAAATTTGAAATTTAACATTAAAAAAAAAAAAAAAAAAAAGATTTTAGTTCGTTTTGGCGGCAAACTGTCATAAAAGCCCATTTCTCCGTCGCTGCAATGTGGTAGCTCTAAATTCCAACATGGATCGCCTTTCCTTGCTGGGTTTAGAAGCATCGCCACCGCTTGCACAGCCGTGGTTCTTCCCCGCTTCGGTGGTCCGGACAGGTGCTCCAGCTGCGGCCCGATGTTGAGCTTCTTCTCCGCGCTCGTGCTGTTTCCATTAACTCCCTTGAATTCCGAGTGAAATTTCTTTTCCTTACTCTTTTTTTGCGTCTTTCTGTCTTGTAATCTTAAATTAGTAGCGCTGTAAATGAGTGTTTGTTTCTTAATTTCACTGTTGGTAATTTATGGCGAAGTAGTCGATCTGGCTTTGATATGACTTGAGGTGGACTTCTTTTTAGCTTATTTTTTGTGGTTAAGTAATGAGTATCTCAAGATTTGTTCAAAGAGATGAAGAAAAACACAAGAATTTGACTGGTTGATTGTTGAATCTGATAATTATGCTATATGAACTTACTTACTACCCCATTTGAACCTCGTTTTTGTTTCTTTATATGGTTGGTTTACTGCATTCCTTTGAAATCTTGATTGTCTATTTGATATTGAATTTGAATTAAGAGCTAAATCAGTATCATTGTAATCATTGAAACACTTAGATGGTTTCTGCTGAAGATTTTTTACTGTTCTTTTTGTTCTCTTGATTCTTTGCATCTGGAAAACTTTCGTGTGGCTGAATGTGAGATCCCACATCGTCTGGAGAGAAAAACGAGTGTTAGCGAGGACATTGAGCCCCAAGGTGGGTGGATTGTGAGATCCCACATCGATTGAAGAGTAAAACAAGTGCCAACGAGGACATTAGATCCCGAAGGGGGGTGAATTGTGAGATCTCACATCAGTTAGGGAGATGAACGAAACATTCTTTATAAAAGTGTGGTAACCTCCCTGTAACATACGCGTTTTAAGAAACCTTGACAGGAAGGCCGAAAGGACAGTATCTACTAGCAGTGGGCTTGAGCAATTATACGGGAAGTTCTAGTTATCCTTGTTTCTTCTTCAACTTTTATTCGGGCAAATTTGTTTGATAAGTTCAGATGTAACTCTAGAGACTTAAAAATGTTACGAATCTTCTTAAGGGCGTATTCCTTGTTAACTTGAAAGTTGTTTTTGGAGCTAGCAGAGTTATAAACTGAGTTAGATGTTCAAATCACTATGTCAAAATTAAGAAGCTAACCAGTGATTGTATGAAGTTATGGGATAAACCAAGTTGAAGGAGTGATGACAGTGTTCCTCACTTCCCTTAGAACTTTTCTTGAACGTTTTCATCCCACAAAACAGTCAGATTCTTTCTTTACAATGGATGGATGGTAAAGATTTTGGTCATGTTCTTCTTTCTGGGAATCAAGTTTGGTGGATTGAGATCAAAGTTTGGTGGATTTTCTCAGTTTTTTCTTGTGTAGAGGTGAACCTTTCTGGTAGTCCCTAGAAGTTTATTATTCACTGATTGATATCAAGCATAGTATCACGAGGCTTGTTTTTGCCATATTGTCATTAAGGCTTTGCTACCTTTGTTGGTTGGCACTCAATTAGCCATAGTCAAGAACATTGCTTTGCTTTGCTACCAAGTGATGCAGCCTACCTTTTCTATAGGCACTTGATTCAAAACTTGAAATAATTATAGAGGATTTTCTTTGAATTTGTTCTTGTCAACAAACAATTTGTTCGTATGTGAGATCCCATATGGGTTGGAGATGGGACCATTGCTTATAAGGGTGTGGAAACCTCTCCCTAGTAGACGTATTTTAAAATCGTGAGGCAGACAATATCTACTAGCGGTGGTATTGGGCTGTCACAAATGGTATCAGAGTCAGACACCAGGCGATGTAATAGCGAGGACTCTGGCTCCAAAGGGGGTGAATTGTGAGATACCACATTAGTTGGAGAGGAGAACGAAGTTCCTTATAAGGGTGTGGAAACTGCGTTTTAAAACTGTGAGACTAATGACAATATATAACGGGTCAAAACAGACAATATTTGTTAGTGGTGGTCCTGGACGGTAAGACCTTCCGTCCAAAAATATCAACCGGCTAATGACATTACTATGTCTAATAAGAAACAAATCTAGCAAAAGGGTCTTGTCTAGTTTAATCCCTTTGACTAGAAAATCTTTTTCTGTTAGTACATCTGCACATGATGCCACTTTATTCACCTCTTTTGGGAACTTCATTTGTCTGTTTATGCACATTTTTTCACCTCTCCTAAATTATCTTAAACAGTGCCATTCATTGCTTCAAGGCGAATCAGAGTATTAGAATATAGAACAAATATTGCGATCGATTTTGGGTTGTTTCTGTTGTTTTCGAGTATTGATGGACATGGATGAGTGCAGATTCTGAGGGTTTAACGAGACCAGGAGGCGTCGCATGCGAGCTCGATTGATATAGTTCAGGTATGCTTGATTTTTGGCTCACTTATTATGTTAAGCTAGGATACTTAACCATAATCTGCTGAAAAAACTTGAAGTTTGGAATTGAATCATCTGTTTGGAGTTCTCTGAATTTGTGCAAGATCCCATGATTGAAGGATAGAGCAGGGACCAAGCAGGGACCAAGCAGGGACCAAGATGATATCTTTGGTCCTATCATGGTCCACTCTGATCCTACCATGTTTTGTTGTGCTCTCTCATTAAGACCCATCAATTTTAATGGTTAAATATCACTTTCAAAATCCAAACAACCCAAGCCTCAAAAACAAAAAGAAAAAAATGAAAAAAACCCCAACCTCAACTAGCTTTTATATTTTGTTTAATTTTAGAATCTTATTTCCGAGGTGGGCTAACTAACCACGGTAGACCTTTAAAATCCTATTATGTATGTGGGAGATCGAACCATTATTGACCTTTAGAATCCTATTCTGGAGGTGGAGGATTGAGCCATTTTTGGCCTTTAGAATCCTATTATGGAGGTGAGGGATCGAACTATTATCGACTTTTAAAATCCTATTTGAGGTGAAAGATCGAACGATTATCCACCTTTAGAGTCCTATTTTGGAGGTGAGAGATCAAACCATATCGACGTTTACAATCCTATTGTGAAGGTCAGAGGATCAAACTGCTATCGACCTTTAGAATCCTATTCTGGAGATGGGAGATTGAACCATTATCGACCTTTAGAATCCCATTTTGGAGGTGGAGGATCGAGCCAGTTTTGACCTTTAGAATCCTATTATGGAGGTGGGGGATCGAACCATTATCAACCGTTAAAATCTTATTTGAGATGAAGGATCGAACAATTTTCCACCTTGAGAGTCCTACTTTGGAGGTGAGAGATCAAACCACTATCAACGTTTAAAATCCTATAGTGAAGGTGGAGGATCAAACCACTATCGACCTTTAGAATCTTATTCTGGAGATGGGAGATTGAACCATTATCGACCATTAGAATCCTATTTTGGAAGAGGGAGATCGAACCATTATCGACATTTAGAATGAAAATTAATATTTTATCTGTTGAGTTATGCTCGAATTGACTTAAATTAAACGACTAATTTTTATAGTTATTGCGTCAATAAATACTAATAATTCTCGAACACATTATTTTTCCCGTTATTATTTAGATTTATGAGGTGATGATAAAGTGGGATGTTTTGTAAGTCTCAATCTTTGTCTCCTTTATGTCTTTATCTCACTCTATTTTTAAAGATAAGATTATATTATAAAATACGGATTATATTTTTATTCATTTTTTTTATAGAAATTAAACCATTTATTGCTTCATAATATAATTTATTAAATCCATTAACTTTTACTATGATTTTAAGTAATTAAATAATAATGTGACATGCATGTTACACAAATATTAATTAATTTAATAAAATATATAGTGGACATATAATGAAAAAAAAAACAATGGACAACCAGACAACGAGATTCTTTAAGAATAAAAATTCAATTATTTATTTTTATTTAAAAAAATTATAAATGCCAATACAAAACATTATATTTATCTTATAATATCCTATTTTTGGAAATTTAATAACATTTAATTATTGTAATTTTATTAAAAATGCCTTAATCTCTTGAAACACTAATGATTAGAAGCATATATGTTGCTTGATTTTGTAATTTATTAGAATATTAGTCCAAATTAATAATAATAATAATAATAATAAATTAAATTGAATTTAAAAAATGGGTCTTTTAAAAAGCCCTAATTGCATTTTGGCCTCAAATTATTGGCTTTATTAACTGCTTTTGATGGTAGTTTTGTCAGCTTCTGTTCTGGAAAGTTGTATAATGTTTGGTCAAACCAAAAACTCCTTTTTTTTCTCTCTCTCTCTCTTATTATTTTATCATAATTATTATTTCACTTTAAAATTCTTTTTATATTTAACAAAAAAATAAATAAATTGAAATTGGGCCAGCTTGGCCCATCCTTAATTTATGTTGACGTGGTGATATGACCATGTGAGTTGGAGTCTCCTCTTTTAACCTACAAAATAAGGCATTCAATCCTACCAGTTTGATATACATTGTGAGTTTGAACATAACTCAGTGGATAAGACATCAATTATCATCGACTTTTCATTTCTACAATCGTTGAATTAAAAGAAAAATATGATACTCGTTAATGAGAAGGGTTTTCAGGTTTGTTCATAGGTCAAAGCCACGAGACATCAATATCATACCATGATCGAATCATTTATTGGGCTTACTCCAAATCAAAGGAATTCAAAATTGACCCTTTTATTTAAATTTTGAATGGGTTTAATTTTCGTTCTCTTTAGGTCAACAAACACATTAATTGTATTCATTGCTATAATGTTCACAAATTTTTTTAGATACATAGTTATCTAAATTGGTAGAAAAAGGGTGGAATATATATATATATATATATATATATATATATTAAAAGGAATAAGATTTTAATTTTAATTTAAAAAATAAATATTTATTTGAACATCTTAGAATCATGTCCAACAATTCAATGATTGAATTAGGGTTTCAATAAACCAATTAAATAAGTTAATGTTACCGTTGGTAGTCTAAAAAAATGGAGGGAATTGTAATTAATTTATATTATTTAGAGAGAGGAAAAAAAAATATAAATAATTGTGTGAGTGGGCACACCGAATCAGAGCTCAGGGCCATCGTTTTTCTGTCCCACGCGCTGCTATGCGCGCTTCTCCATGTAATGCGTGGGACTCTGCCTTTTGCCAATGATGCTTTTCAGTTTCCCGCCACTGTCTTTCACCGCGCGTGACTCCTAACCAATCTCTTTTTTTATTTTTTGTATTGTTTATTCTAAATATACATATTTATATTTTTTTTTTCAATGTTCAGTTTCAATTATTAAATTAAAAAAAAAAATCCTTTCAATTGTGGTATAAATTTGAAAAATAAATTAAGACGATTAAGAATTCAAATGACCACAAAGCCCCTGATCGAGGGACTACTAGTCATTTGTTTATATTTTTTCTCGACCAATCTTGTTTATCCATGTCTGCTCCTCTTTATTGTAGCGCATCATTTGTTCGATAAGTGAATTATAGATTGTCACAACTATGTTATTTAGGCACACGAACATAGTTAAGTGTTTACTGTCATGTTTTTGAAATCAGACCAAAGACATCATACTAATAAAATATTATCTTCTTTTTAATCTATTTTTTAAAAATATAATAGTGAAAGTTTTAAGAATAAAAATTGTATTTTTCTTTTCATTTAAATAATAAAAAAAAAAACAAGGAAAAAGAATCTAAAAAGAAGTAATAAATTAAATACATTTCCACTTTTTTCCCTTAAAAACAGCATTGAAACCATGGGTGATGATGGTCACGCGCTCCAATACGCGCGTGGTAACTAGTAAGCCTCAGTCATCATTCTCATGCAGTGCACTACGACGTCACGTGCGGTTTAGAGGTGCTTCTCTGTTTTCGCTCTCAGCTCCCATGTGATCCCACTCCCAAATAGAACCCACAAACTTCAAAATATTTACTACTCTGCCACTTTGTCGTTTTGCTTAAGAGCAAGAAAGGGACACCCACGTCTGAAAATTGATATTGCTTTTTAATTTAATTAGTTTTCTCTTAATCCATATCTCTATTATCTGGCCACGTGTAATTTTCATGTGATAAAAGAGTAATTTGCAAGATTCTTTTTGTAAAATAAATATTCGAAGTAAATTAGAGAAAATAAAATTATTTTTTTAAAAAATATTTTATTTATTTAAAAAAAAAAAAAAAGAACACAACAAAACCTATCTTCTTCTTCTCCATTCAATCATACTGTTTCAAACCAAAAAAAAATCAGAGCTCCTCCATGGCCATGGCTGCTCTTCACTGGTGAGAATCTCCATTTTCATGGATTCTGACCGCCATTTTCGTAACACTACGAGTTCCACTGCCTCCGCCTCCGCCTCCAGCGAGCTCTTTATCTGCTTTACTTCTCGCATCTCTTCTTCTTCTTCTTCTTCTTCCTCCATGAAGATCTCTTCCAAGTCCATTCTCAGCCCTGGCCGACCTCGTGAACCTGCTCAGATTTCCCTCTCCACTTCCCTCAGCCGCCGCCTTAAATCCAGCGGAAGTCTCAAGGGTGGTCAGGCCTCGCCTATGTTTCCGACTGGCGGGAAGAAGAGAGGTTGTGGGTTTGAGAATCCTGAGCCGTCGTCGCCCAAGGTTACTTGCATTGGACAGGTTAGGGTTAAGACGAAGAAGCAGGGGAAGAAGATGAGGGCTAGATCGCTGAAGCGGAGGAGTAATTCGGAGGCTAGTTTTCGGAAATCGGAGAGTGTTCAAGTTCAATCACAGATGAATGGTAATGACTTCATGAATCAGTCGTCGCATCATAATCACCATCTTCTTCGTCAGAACAGTAATGGCGGAAACGGTTTCCAGCAGGAGTGTCTGTCGCATCGGAACCAGCGGTGGGTGCATTTGCCTTTCACGATTTGCGAGGCGCTTAGGGCTTTCGGTGCTGAACTCAACTGCTTCTTGCCGTGCCATTCGTCGTGTTCGAGCAATAGGGAGAATAATAAGGAATCGAAGACGACGGAGAGGTCGTCGGAAAGCGAGAGTTCTTGTGGGACGGTGTTTGCGCGGTGGTTGGTAGCGGTGCAGGATAACGACGGAAGAGGACGGGAGATCGAACTAGTGGTCGGAGACGAAGAATCTCGAACGGAGAAGGATAACGGAAGCCAGAGACGCCATGTTTTCGAGGGATTAGATTTCAAAGAGGAGAAAGAAGTTGTGCAGGAAGAGGAATCGAGGATCAGCATTTGCATTCCGCCGAAGAATGCTTTGTTGCTAATGAGGTGCAGATCTGATCCGGTGAAAATGGCGGAACTGGCGAAACGATTCTGTGAATCTCCTGTGCCAAAATTGGAAGAAGAAGAGGAAGAAGACGATGAAGAGAACAGTAATCAAAACGAAGCCAAAAAAGGTGCGCCACTGCCTGTACTTGTGCCTTTGAGTGTAACTTTAATCAAGGAAGAGGAAGAAGAAACAAAAGTAGAGCTAAATTCGAAGCTTAAAAACGAGGAAGAAATGATTGAAGAATCTGTATCTGATGCCGAAGAAGAAGAAGAAGCTAATTTGGTTTTACAGGAGGAGAAAGAGGAAGAAGTTAATGGCGAAGAATCCATAGAAATGGCCACAGAAAACGAAATCGATGTGCAGAAATTAGATATTACTGTTACTAATCATCAGGATCAAGAAGAAGAAGCAGAGGAAGACAAAGAACAAGAACACAGAATCGATCAAGATAATCAACAACAGAAGTTAGAAGAAACAATGGCATTTTCGATTCCGATTTCAACCCGATGCGAACCTGAAATGGTTCAAGATGCTGAGAAGCTGGAATCGGCTGAAGGAGACGAATTCAAGCCATCCCATGGAAACGAACAAGACTTCGAAACAGAAGAACACGAAGAACACGAAGAACACGAAGAACACAAAGAACAGATGAAAGAACTTGAGGAAGAAGAAAAAAGTGAAAATGGCGAAAATCCGACATCACCACCATTATCAGTGGAAACTGCAGTTGATGGGAATTGGGAAGAAGAAGAAGAAGAAGAAGAAGAAAACAGAGGTAGGTCAACCGAAGAACTAAAAGGGACGACGGCGACAGCGATGGATGAAGGAATCGGACCCCACATCCAAAACGACGACGAAATGGGTCTAGAGGAGGAGGACCAGTCAAAGGAGCGAGAAACTCCGCCGCCGGAGCCGGAGAGAGAAACGCAAACACAAACGAAACCAGAAGCCTCTGTCCTTCCAGATTGCTTGCTGTTAATGATGTACGAGCCAAAGCTATCAATGGAGGTATCAAAGGAGACATGGGTTTGCAGCACAGACTTCATAAGATGCGTTCCAACGAGGGAGAAGAAGGCGGCTCCGCCGCCGGCACCGAAGAAGCGAGAGATAAAGACGGCGGGGAAACACACGCAGACGCAGGTGGCGATACAGCCGGGAAGGTGGTCGTGTTCATTTCCGGCAGCGGCGGCGGCGGCGGCGATGATAGAACAGAAGCTAGAGAGGGCAAAGGGAGGGTACGAACCGTTCGTTCTGACGAGGTGCAAATCGGAGCCGATGAGGTCGTCAGCTAAGCTAGCGCCAGACACTGGCTTTTGCAAAGACCGCAATCTTGAGCCGCATCGCCCGGCTACGTTCGGCATCGGCGCGGCTGGAGTTGGATTTTGACCATTTCACCCCTCACCAAGGTTTAAAAAAAGAAAAAAGAAAAAAGAGTAGAAGTGTGTAAAAATAGTGTGGAGGTAGTAATTTGTATTTTCCTAGAAAAAAGTATTTGTTATTTTAGGTTTTGATATCTCTATTTCTTCCCTTTTCCCCCTCAAATTTATTATAATGGAAAATTGCTTTAAAGAATTATTTGGTAATGGAAACTTGATTTTATTTATTAATATAATTAAACCCGAGTCAATTTGATCATGTCTCATAATTACTCTCAAAATGAGATGATCACGAGCCACTTAACAATAAAATGTCGTTGAATCAAACAATCGTATAAAATTGTTAAAATATGTCCAAGATAGTGGTACTAACAATAGTACGATCCATTTGAACATAATACAACTAATTAAGATCAATTTAAACATAAATCATTTTGGGTATCAAAACCAAAATACTAGATACACAAACACAAATATAATTTTCTAAGTTGAGGGGTTCTCGACTAACCCAGATCCTACCTAAATTCGCCTTTGTCTTAAAAGTGATTAAAAAAAAAAAAGAAAAAAAAAACTCTCTTGGTCGTTCGTAATCATTAACAAAGTTAATTCAAACACGCCCTTTTTCACAAGATTTGCAAAACTTGTGAAAAACAATGGCTGTTGTGTTCTTAAGGAAAAGTGTCCACAAACAAAGCATAAACACCCAAACAAATCAAACAAATATATCTCACTGCCTTGGAATTTGATTGCTCTCACTTTTTGTTTTCCTTTACTTTTTCATGGTTCCTTCTGAAAAAGCTCAAACAAAAGAAGAGAAAGCCCCATGAATTTCAAGAAAAAGATTCTAATGAGAGGTGCCATCAATGGAATTTTTGTGTCAGGTTTGACCAAGTATGATGGTCAAATTGGTTCTTTCCCGAGTTCAAAACTAAAACTTTTAAAATATGGGTCAATTTTTCATATTTGGTGCAACTACAATCTTACTAGTGGTCTCGACTTTGGATAAAGTAGTGATGTATAAATAAACCAAGATCATTTTCAAATGAAGGCAATCCGAGGGATATGATGGTTAAGAAATGCTTAAAAGAACAAAAAGTTGACTACTTATACTAACAAGGTCCACCTTTTTTAAGCAACCTAGAAATTTTGTTAGGAAGAATGTGAGTGAATGTTGAATAAACTCGTGTTGACCTATGAAGATAGTCCTCTCTTAGAAATACTTTAACTAAAGTAGATAACGTGATCATGTAGTAGGGGGATGCAAAGGAAAGTCGGGAGGTCATCAGTTGCTAAATCTAGTTTCCATGTTCTTGTCCAAATCCTAAACACGAGGCATTTCGAGCTATATAAATCTAGACTTATAAAATACATTGTTCATCCATAGTTTTGTGTCAGCAGAGCATTAATATATTGTGCAGATTGCTGCCTAATCATAGACTATATTTTCTGTGTGTATATACCCATATAATAATAATCACAGATGACAGAGAGCTACCCAAAATGAAGAAGATGATACTAAAAATGCACTATCAATCAAAGCAGATAGCATTCACAAATGGCAACCAAAACAGCCAAAATCTTACCCATGCGGATTCTCTTCCATCACTGCAAGTTACTTCAACTTTGATCATCTTTGCTGCTGCTTGATTCGGTGCCATCGAGGGTTGTTTCAACGGTTGAGTTCGGCGAGCTAACTTGCTTATCACCTTTAGTTGCAAGTTCTTTATCTTCTGAACCTTCTTCCATGACAGAGTTTAATGCCAACTGACCAGAGTAAAGGAATAACCCAACAGCATTGATTCCGAAAACAAATGTCGCGAGGTAGCATATTCCGTTCACGATAGTTCTGCAAATACGAGATAAGAATCGGACTCTAGTGTTTCATCTAACTGCAAGATATGTTAAAACAAGGCGAGGAAGTTACCTTATCGTTATCGTCAGTTGTCGAACCTAAAAGAAGAGAAAACCAGCAGAACATCAATCCACAAAGGTTTCAAATTTTCTTGTTTGTTAATACAAGTTACAAGATATTAATCCAACAGTTCTCTTAGTGAAAAACAAGCAACACTTGTTGAACTATTTCCAGCTCAAATCATATTACCATTAGCTGTCCAGATGAGAAAGACAATGAAATAATCAAAACATATATAAGGATGAAGTAACCACGAGAGCGTACCGAGAAGTTATCGGACACAGTCTGTCGGTTCAGAGCAGCTTCAATGGTAGTGGTGAACTTATATAAGATCAATGCAATAACACCGGCTGCTATAGCTCCCAAGAATGCTTGTACAGGTGAAGGTTTAGACTTTGATTGAATTGGACCTGTACTAATTGCTTTCAGGCTCTCCATTGCTTCCTCCTTTAGAGACTTCTTAACTCCAGCAGACCTGAATTTCTAAAATGGGCACATAAAGTCATAGAACTTTCAATTGTTACATGGTAACAAAAGAAATCAATTCAAGGAACCATTAAGTTCATTGCTTGTATGTTACGTTCAAACATTCTCTGATTCCAGAATCTAAATATATCCTTCAAAGATGTTCCAACATTGAGGCATGAACAGTCCATAAAATTAGTACATCACTACCATAATTAATTGCCCCCCATCCAATATTTTCAGCTTCTTCGTAACTGATATGACTTCCTTGAGGGAAAAAAAGAGGCAGGAAGATATGAACAGTCCATAAAATTAGTGAATCACTGATGCAATAATCTAAGTCCATCGCTAGTAGATATTTTCCGCTTTAGTCCGTTACGTATTGTCGTCAACCTCACGGTTTTAAAACGTGTTTGACATGGAGAGGTTTCCACACCTTTGTAAAAAAAATGTTTTATTTCCTTCTCCAACTGATGTGAGATCTCACAATTCACCCCTCTTTGGGACTCAGCATTCTCGCAGGCGCACCGCTCCGTGTCTAGCCATTTGTAACAACCCAAACTCACCGCTAGCAGATATTGTTCGCTTTGGCCCGTTATGAATCGCCGTCAACCTTACATTTTGGAAACGTGTTTGTTAGGGACAGGTTTTCACACCCTTATAAAAAATATTTCGTTCCCCCTTCCGACCGATGTAGGATCTCAAAATCTACCCCTTGCAGACAGAGCCCAACGTCCTCGCTAGCATACCGTTCGGTGCCTAGTTTTAATACCATTTGTAACAGCCCAAGCTCACCACTAATAGATACTGTCCGTTTTGGCCCGTTACGAATAGCCGTCAACCTCACGGTTTGGAAACATGTTTGCCAGGGAGAGGTTTCCACACCCTTATAAAAAAATGTTCCGTTTCCCTCTCTAAGGAAGTGGGATCTCACAGCTACCATAATCAATTGTCCCCCATCCAATATTTCAGCTCCTTTCGTAACTGATATGACTTCCTTGAGGGAGAAAAAAAGAGGCCGGAAGACACTGCAGAATGAACAAACAGCTCCTATATCTAGGTAGCCATGGCCAGCCACCACTTCAAATGAATTTTACTTTTTCATATAACTACTCTACTCGGCACTAGACTAAGAATACATAAGACCCCAATTACATTATAACAAATTTGATACCGAGTTGAACCCTATAGTGAAGACTTTCTTCAAACACATGGCGTGCAAAAAAATGAGGCAAAGGAATAAGAAAGCAGCAGAACCCCAATTCATTCCTAGACTAAAACAATCACAAAACGTGTATTCCAAAGAGTCAAAACTTAAAAAAAGAAATGCAGTAAAGGGTACCAGCTCTTTGACCCGCTTGGCACGGCGGCGAAGGGAGCGAAAGAGGAAGACGGAGATAGCCCCAGTAAGGAGAACACTGGTAGCGACTTGGATAGAAGAAGGGTCATCAGTGGTAGCAAAAATGGTGGATGGGAGTTCAATTGGGCCATCGTCATCGGGAAAAGAGGTGGCGGCGTCGGAGAGTTCAGAGAATTGGGGTAAGCAGAAGCATTGGTGAGTTCGGAGGGGAGGAACAGAGGGGGAGGTAATGGGTCGGTGGAGAGAGGAGAAGGGCGGAGGAGAGAGAAGGAGATTGTGAGTTAGAGAGAGAGAGAGGGGGAAATTGGAGGAGGAGAGAAGGTTGAGGGTGTGCAACATTTGAGGAAGGTTAATGGATATGGCGCCTGGAATTTGATGGGTTTGGGAGCCTGCAACTATGGAGAGATGGGATTCCCAAAGATCTCATCATTTACCCCCAACCTATCCATCCACTACCATCCACTTCATTTTCCTAAACATTTTTTTTTTCGATAAATTAATAAATAAAAAATAAAAAAAATTATATTTAGTCTAAAAAAAATTCATAAATCTATTTTTATTTATTTATTTAAAAATTTCTTTTTTAAAAAAGTTTTTATTAATTTAGTCATATTTTTTAAAACTCAGCTCTTTCTTAAAAAAAATATCAATTTAAAAATTAGATACAAATTTCTCATATATATATTATATATAATCTATAATCTAGTAAATAGAATAATAATAAATAAATAAGAAACTCATTAAAATAAAAAATAAAAATAAAAAGAGCTAAAAAAACTCTAAAACTTAGGTCGCCATGAACTCGAAACTATACAAATCCAGACATCTCGACACTCCGATCCGAGCCCAATGGGTGCGGGTGTTATCTAGGTCCAACCATTTTGCAAATCATTAACAAAATGGTGAATATAAGCATCCATGAAGCCAGGGTTAGTCAAAACGTGGTTCCATTTTTGATGGTTTTTCTTGACCATTTCACCAACGCCGGCTGCTTCCACAAGCATCACTGACTCAATGGCTTCCCTCACACTTTGGCTTGTGAACTTCCCATCCTCTTCCCTCTTCACTTCCACGCCCACTTGGAGCTCTTGAGCCAGCAGCCTTGCGTTCAATATTTGGTCGCCAAGGCTCGGAATCAGCACAATTTGAGGCTCACTCATCAATGACTCCCACATCGAACCGAACCCACAATGGCTCACAAAGCAACCAACCGATGGGTGGTTTAGAATCAATGGCTGCTGAACCCAACCGCCATAAACGGCTCCTCTTTCTCTCACCCTTTCTTCGAATCCTTCTGGTAGTGCTTCTTCAATGGAGTTTGATCCTGTTGGTGGCTTTAGAGCTACCAAAAATGGCAGCCTAGTTTGTTCTATTCCCAACACAAGTTCTTGGAGTTGGTCCTTTTCTAAGGTTAATTGACTTCCAAATGCACAGAAAATTACTGTTTTTGGTTCGAATTGGTCGAGCCATTTCTCCCATTTTTCGTCTAAACACGATGTTGTTGGTGTCGTCGTCGTCTTGTTTGGTGCTGCCATGAGTGGCCCGGTTAGTAATAGCTTCTTTTGGAATTGCTTTGCTAAGTAGCTGCAGAAATTGCCTTCGATTTCTTCGCATGTTCGTATTGCTATTGCGTTACTATTTCTATATGATGTCATTAGTCTCTCGTGAAACGTTATACCTCCTGAAAATATGAATAGATGATTTTTATATTAGTTAATAATTTAATATAACAATCAATTTCAGCATAGTATTATCACACGTGTTAATCTAAAGTGAAAGTGGATGAATATAAACGCTCTAATAAATTATTGGCTCATGTTGGATCGTAATTTGAGCGGGAGACGAATGAGGTTAAGAGATCTGTGGAAATTGTGGGGTGAAAAAATGCATAGATAATAGAGAGTTCTATCAGAAAGGGAAGTCCAATTAAACTAAAACTAAATTTAATCAAAGATCAAGGGTATATAATTTTCCCCATTAAAAATTAGGAACAAATACCTTCGCCGAACGGCATGGACAAGAAGAGGAGCGACCGCACTTCACGGCAGCCACGGAGGACGACGGTGGACGACGGATAACCAGGCGGCGGCTTCCTAAGCTCCTCCTCCGTAATCGGGTCATCAACGGTCACCCTTCTTCCCGGATAAGCAATAACAGCAATCGACGCAGCACTGACAACAGTAAAACTAACCGATTTGATCCGCAGCGGCGCAGCGATTTCAGGGACCCAATACGCAAAATCATAGAAAACAACATCAGGGCAGGCAGAACAGAGGATCTCCGCCACCTGCGGCCGAGTCATGTCGAAAGCAGAGGCCAGCAAGGGGGTAAGAGAAATGGGTATATCAGAGGCGGTTTCCGTCGCCGGAGGGAGGCCGGAGACATGGGGAACCGTCAAAAAATGGAAGGAGATGAGATTTGGGTGAAGATTTAGATTTTGTAAAAGAGGGAGCGCTTTGGAGGGCATAAGGAAGGTGATTTTATGGCCTCTAGCGGCGAGCTCGTTGGAGATATGAAGAAATGGAGTCATGTGGCCGGCGGCAAACCACGGGAACATGGCAATATGGAGCTTTGATAATTGGGTTTCTGCCATTTTGTTGGTTCTTGCCGTTTGTGATTTGTGGAATTGCAAGGGAAATATATATGCAACAACTTGCACGTGGTCCTACAACAGTAAACATAGTTTTTTTTGGATTAAATTATAAATTAAGTCCCTATAAACTGTTTTAAAATCGTGAGACTAACTACCATACACGTTAAGGCGAATAATATTTAGTAGTGATGACCTCAAACTTGGGCTATTACACACAACGTTAGGTGGGACATATTGATTAGGTGGGGCATGCATCATAAATGTATCACGTGAGATGTCATCATCAAAATCTAGAGCAATCTTTTTTTACCACAAACCATTTGATTTGGATAACATCAATAATTATTGAAAGCATATGATCGTTTGACATGATAAATAAACATATAGTAATTTAAAACAAAAATAATAATATAGGTTGAGTGAATTATAGCAAACATGTTTTTATTAGCCCAACACTCTAATTAAGGTAAGGTTCATGGAATAATGACAAAATAACAAAAAGTGCTTTCAAAATTGTCTGAGTGACATTCATAGGTAAAATTTCATTAGCAATTGTTGTTGGAGAAGGAGAACAAATTTAGATTCCAATAAAGTGATGGTCCCCTCTACAAACTTCCTGAAACGATCCATTCACCCCAAACATCTCGTATCCTTCTTTATGTTAAAAGTTGCACACCTAACGTTTTCCCAATAACCAGATGTCTCGTAGCATTCTCTACACTAAAAGTTGCACATCGAACATTCTCGTAATATCAACAAGACTTATTTCAACAATTCCGGATATGAAACTTCATTGTCTTTGTCCCGTTCTTATTTGTATGACATGCGTACATAGTGACACAGTAATTACATTTGACTTTAGGTTTATCTTCACTACAATCATATATTTAGCAAAGTGATCTCGTATCATAGTTCTCTGCTTTCATTCATCCTTGGGTGGTGGTGGCCGCATCTTTGCTTTTGAACTAACAAAAACATGTAAAATAAAAATGTTGATTAGAAGATTATAGAGGGGTTGGAATCAAATCTAAAGTTCTTTTACGGACTATGAAGATAGCTCAATCCAACTTCGAGGCAGGGATGTACTAGCTCGTGGTCAACTTAATTGAAACGATAAGCGAACACGCCCAAACCAAAGGCGACCAATTGTAGTCGACTTCAAAAATATACAACTAGCTGGACTGAACTAAACCTGAATTGAGCAATTTGATCGAGTTTTTTAGTTTAGCCTCCACCCCTAGTCTCCATGTTCTAGCCAACTAGACACACTACGATCAAGTCATGTTCATATGACATGTCCTCATGTCCATGCTGTCATATTCATTTTTGGTAAGGTGTCACATCTGAATTGAGTCATAGCTCGTAGAGTATTGAAGAAGACCTAGTACCTTTCACCAACCAGTGTTCTAAATAATCCAACACCAAAACAAAGGGGTCCTATAACTTTTAATTGAGGCTCAGAACGTTGAAGACAGCTCAATCAAAGGAATTCATACTGTACAATTCCTCTAAAAATTACATCCCAAAAGACAATAAATTTGAAGATCCTCCACAGTCCCGTTATTCCGATTTGATCCAAATTCATTCCGAAGAATATTTTTTGTCAAACCATTGAGGATGTTTAGACAATTAGTGCAGCATTGAAAAGAACATACCAGTGCAGAGTTAGTCGAGATGCCACTTGTGCTTTGGAGACGAGTGAACGTTCACGCGTCTATTAGGGAAAAATTTCCACTCCAATGCTTCGATCCCCTCTCCACTTATGCGGGATCTTACAATCCACCCCTTCAAGACCCAGCATATCGCTAGCACTCGTTCCCTCTCCAATCGATGTGGGATCTCACAATACATCCTTCTTCGGAACGTAGCATCCTTGCTGGCACTCGTTACTCTCTCCAATCGATGTGAGATCTCACAATCCACCTCCTTCGAGACCCAGCATCCTCGTTGGCATACTGCCCGGTATCTACCCGCCTTCGAAGCTCAGCATTCTCACTAGCACACCATCCGATATCTAATTTTGATACCATTTGCAACCTCACTAATTTAGAGTAAGAAAATGAGTCGCGTTACTTATCCATTTCATGCCCAAATCAGATGCAAGTTCAACAATACAGATACTTAAGGATCAAGTTTACACAGCAATCACTCATTGGGTCACAGATACCACAAGTCAACAGGATTATGCTGATATAAACCAGTCGCTACATCTTAATAAACTCACTCAACAAGCAGTTACACCGAAAAAATACTTTTCCAATCACCAAATCCCATGTTCTCTGAGCAACTCCTAGTCCTCAAAAGTAACAAAATTACAACTATAGAAGCTGAAGCAGGATAAACTGTACGAGTTTATTAAAAATAAAGGCCATTCAAGTTTTAATAATTACATACATGTAACCATCTTAAGAAGCTAAAGCTAACAGACATTGAAGAGTATTAATAATTTCAACCGTTCAGCATCATCAATACTCTTAATAAGATCGACTAATACCCATTTTGATTTCTCTGCACCATATTTGTATATCTTCCTCCTTCAATGAGTGTAGGAGAAAGATTTCCAAAAAAAAAAAGAAAGAAATTCAGAATTAAACCTCAAGGGAGAATCTACTGGAAAAAAGAGCCTCGATGACTACACTCTTTCTCGATCGATTACCACTCTGCTTCAATGACGAAGAAACAGATCCGGAGGACATCGCACGACAAAAATCACAAATAGAATCGACAACACAAACAACGTCCTAAACCTATTCGGTCGAGCAAAACTCAAAGAATCCTCAACTTCATCCAATTAGCATTCCAACGAACCAAATACGGGGGCATTCAAACATTAACACAAAGCATTAGGGAAAGGAACTCACCAATTGATAACCAATACGGATCTATCTAGAAAACAAACCCTAGAAATCGTTTAGAGAGCTTTCCGGCTGCTCTCGTAAAATCTCCCCGAGTCGCCATGAAAATTAAAGGTCGAGCTTCAACATTTGCATTCATATTTCTGTGATATTTTCCCTCTCAGAAAGAGAACTTCATAATGAAATTTCTCATATACAGAGAGACTGAGCCAGTGGGCCGTGGGCTTCTTGGCGCGTGTTTCTAATTTTTTTTTAATTAAAAAATAGTTTTTCAAATTTGGTCAATATTTTCTTAAAAATTAAAATTTTATCAAAATATATAAACAAAAAAAATTTAATTTTTTAAAAAATATAGGGACGAGTTTTGTAATTTAACATTAATTAATTAACTAATTTAATAAATCTTAAACTTTTAACTTTATGTAATTATTATCTAATTTTATTAATTTATAATAGTAATTTTCATACGAAAAAAATTATGTTTTTAAAATTTATAGAGAGGATAACCCAATAATTATTGATATGTGATAATTTTCAAATTTATTAAAACTAAATTGAAAAATTGAATTTTCCTGTTCAACACATTGTGAAAGATGGAATTAATCCTCAGAAGGTATGTGACATGATTAAAAAAATTAAATTTAATCAATTTAATTTATATAGGGCTCAAATAAACGGAATATTTGGCCAAGAAGCTCAAAAACCCACCTTGGCTCGAGCTGACCCATAGGGCATGCACTTTGCAAATTCACACCTCAACGAGTCTTTAGGGGGAAATCGAGGGTCAACCCTTGTATAAATAGTTTTCCTCCATCTCTGAACCTAAAAGCTTGTTACATTTTTACATCGATGCCTCGAGTATTAAAGTGTGTGTGACAAGCACCACATCGACATTAAATTTATATAGGGCTCAAATAAACGGAATATTTGGCCAAGAAGCTCAAAAACCCACCTTGGCTCGAGCTGACCCATAGGGCATGCACTTTGCAAATTCACACCTCAACGAGTCTTTAGGGGGAAATCGAGGGTCAACCCTTGTATAAATAGTTTTCCTCCATCTCTGAACCTAAAAGCTTGTTACATTTTTACATCGATGCCTCGAGTATTAAAGTGTGTGTGACAAGCACCACATCGACATTAAATTTATATAGGGCTCAAATAAACGGAATATTTGGCCAAGAAGCTCAAAAACCCACCTTGGCTCGAGCTGACCCATAGGGCATGCACTTTGCAAATTCACACCTCAACGAGTCTTTAGGGGGAAATCGAGGGTCAACCCTTGTATAAATAGTTTTCCTCCATCTCTGAACCTAAAAGCTTGTTACATTTTTACATCGATGCCTCGAGTATTAAAGTGTGTGTGACAAGCACCACATCGATATGCAGTCTTCTTTATTTTAAAACCCATTGTAAATTTACAGTTGAATCACGTGTGGTGAAGATCGAACGCATTCTAGAAAAAGCTAAAGAAAATCTCATATCTTTTCATTCCATCACGCATTTTACAACAACATTCAACAATATTCCCATTGAATTAGCTTTTCATTTGGCCTAAAACCCTAAAAAGGAATCATATCAGTGAACCAAATGATTACATCGATGGGAAGCTTCACAAGGTTGATTGAGAAACTTATAAGTATTGCAACACACACACAGCAAGGGCAAATGCAGCTCAAAATGGACCTACCCAAATCACCAAAAACCATACAAACATTAATCAAAATCGGATCGAACCAACAAAAATGCAAGATAAAACCCTAATCATAGACACGAAGAATGGGAGCATGCATTCCGAGAAAATTAGGGTTTGTTTTTTTTTCGTGTTTTTGTTTCTCAACATGATATCGAACCAACAAAAATGCAAGATAAAATCCTAATCAAAGACAAGAAGAACGGGAGCATGCATTCAAACCAACAAAAATGCAAGATAAAACTCTAATCGTAGACACGAAGAACGGGAGCATGCATTCAAACCAACAAAAATGCAAGATAAAACTCTAATCGTAGACACGAAGAATGGGATTATGCATTCCGAGAAAATTAGGGTTTGTTTTTTTTTCGTGTTTGTGTTTTTCAACATGATATCAAACCAACAAAAATGCAAGATAAAACCCTAATCGTAGACACGAGAATGGGAGTATGCATCCAAGAAAATTAGGGGGTTTTTTTTTTCTTCGTGTTTGTGTTTCTCAACATGATATCAAACCAACAAAAATGCAAGATAAAACCCTAATCGTAGACACGAGAATGGGAGTATGCATTCCGAGAAAATTAGGGTTTGTTTTTTTTTTTCGTGTTTGTGTTTCTCAACATGATATCAAACCAACAAAAATGCAAGATAAAACCCTAATCGTAGACACGAGAATGGGAGTATGCATTCCGAGAAAATTAGGGTTTGTTTTTTTTTTCGTGTTTGTGTTTCTTAACATGATATCAAACCAACAAAAATGCAAGATAAAACCCTAATCGTAGACACAAAGAATGGAAGCATGCATTCAAACCAACAAAAATGCAAGATAAAACCTTAATCATAGACACGAAGAACGGGAGCATGCATTCTAAGAAAATTAGGATTTGTTTTTGTTCGTGTAACGATAACGAAGAAGAAAAAAAACTTACAAAAAGATGAAAAGAAGAGCACCAATGCAGGAGAGAGATAAGGAAAGAAGGGCAAATGGTAGGCCTATCAAGAACCCTAATGGCCTGCAACATGCCATAGTTTTAGAGATGAAAAGATTAGAAATTTCAGGTCATGGCATGGTTCCATTGATTTCAATGTTCTTGGTTTAGGGTTTCTTCAAACTCTATTTGTTTGGATGATATCAAAAGGTGAGCCATTTTGGGAGGGAGGATCCATGGCGTAGCTAATTAAGAGAAATAGGAAAAAGAGGTTATGATGTAATAGCCTCTATCTATCTCTATTTCTCCCCCTTTTTCTCCCTTGCTATCCCTTTTGTTTTTGGGTCGAGGAGATATTTTTCAATCGGATATCGTCATTTTAAGGTAGGTTAAAACGAATCTATAGAACGTTTATTTCGGGTCAGTAGAAAAACTTTCCTCGACACATAACAATGCCCCTATTGAAAATGTGTACTTCAACCATTCTAGTAAACCTAGAAATTCATATGCCTCGAACCCACAATCGCTAGATTTGAAGTCATATGCCTTTATCCATTAAGCCATGGGAACTAAATACACAAGCCCAGTGAGATTCAAACCCGAACCCGCAATCACCTGATTAGAAGTCAAATGTTAAATCTGTTAGACGAACACGACTCTCCACAATGGTATGATATTGTCCACTTTGAGCATAAGCTCTCATGGCTTTGCTTTAGGCTTCCCAAAAGGCCTCATACCAATGGAGAATGTATTCTTACATTATAAACCCAACCGATGTGAGACTTTCATCATCCAACACCTCCCCTCGAACAAANGATGGTTTCGATCAGCTCAGAGTATGGAATGGACATTAACAGAGTCCGAGGAGTGGTCGACAACGCAATCCGGATCCTGGAGGTAATTAATTAAATAAATAATTAATATGTTGTTCCTTTTCCAAACATGAATGAATTAATTAGTGGGGGATTTGTTTAATTTTCAGATTAAGAAGGAATTTGGGTCTGTTAGACGAACACGACTCTCCACAATGGTATGATATTGTCCACTTTGAGCATAAGCTCTCATGGCTTTGCTTTGGGCTTCCCAAAAGGCCTCATACCAATGGAGAATGTATTCTTACATTATAAACCCAACCGATGTGAGACTTTCATCATCCAACACCTCCCCTCGAACAAAGCACGCCTCCCCTTAATCGAGGCTCGACTCCTTTGGAGTCTTAGTCATTTTTGACTGCCTTTGTACCTTCGAGTAGGCTTGACTCCTTTTGGAGTCCTTTGTTCGACATTTAAGGATTTGCCAATCTATTGACACGGCTAAGTTTAGGGTATGGCTCTGATACCATGTTAGACGAACACGACTCTCCACAATGGTATGATATTGTCCACTTTGAGCATAAGCTCTCATGGCTTTGCTTTGGGCTTCCCAAAAGGCCTCATACCAATGGAGAGTGTATTCTTAGATTATAAACCCATGACCATTCCCTAAATTAACCGATGTGGGACTTTCATCATCCAACACCTCCCCTCGAACAAAGCACGCCTCCCCTTAATCGAGGCTCGACTCCTTTGGAGTCTTAGTCATTTTTGACTGCCTTTGTACCTTCGAGTAGGCTTGACTCCTTTTGGAGTCCTTTGTTCGACATTTAAGGATTTGCCAATCTATTGACACGGCTAAGTTTAGGGTATGGCTCTGATACCATGTTAGACGAACACGACTCTCCACAATGGTATGATATTGTCCACTTTGAGCATAAGCTCTCATGGCTTTGCTTTGGGCTTCCCAAAAGGCCTCATACCAATGGAGAGTGTATTCTTAGATTATAAACCCATGACCATTCCCTAAATTAACCGATGTGGGACTTTCATCATCCAACACCTCCCCTCGAACAAAGCACGCCTCCCCTTAATCGAGGCTCGACTCCTTTGGAGTCTTAGTCATTTTTGACTGCCTTCGTACCTTCGAGGAGGCTTGACTCCTTTTGGAGTCCTTTGTTCGACATTTAAGGATTTGCCAATCTATTGACACGGCTAAGTTTAGGGTATGGCTCTGATACCATGTTAGACGAACACGACTCTCCACAATGGTATGATATTGTCCACTTTGAGCATAAGCTCTCATGGCTTTGCTTTAGGCTTCCCAAAAGGCCTCATACCAATGGAGAGTGTATTCTTACATTATAAACCCAACCGATGTGGGACTTTCATCATTCAACAAAATCCATTAGGTCATGGACGCTTCCACCAATAAACTCCAAAAAAATGTTTATTTTTTATAAATATGAATATTTTTTTAAAAAAAAGTAATACACATGCTCAGTCAGACTCAAACCCACAATCGCCCGATTAGAAGTCATTAGGCCATGGACACCTCTTGTTTTCACAATTTTTTCCAAATTATTATTAATTTTTAATAATATTTTTCTATCCCTATGTTTAATCAAATCTTGTACTCGAACACATTTTTAGAAAATTAATACAATAAGTTAGGTTAACATTTTTTCAAATATCTAAAAATATGTTCGAGATTTGAGAAAATAAAAACCAACTTCTATAAAATTTAACGTCGTGTGTATTCATAAAGTGGTTCAATCTGATCTACCAAACATCGAAAGTTATTCCAAATAAGTGGTTCAATTGTGATCTAACTCAACAAATATCAAAGAATAGGATTAAGACTCGAGATTGAACCAAAGTCCGTGTTTAATAGCTCAACCCAAGTCCGAATAAGGGACCATGAAATCCAGACTCGGTGTACACTATCTCCATGACCAAACAGAAGCATTTAGATACCACATACAAATTGATCATAAGGCAGAAATAAATTTTTTTTTAAGGAAATTCCCAATTATTATTGGGCCCCACGATCAGAAATCTCTGAAGATCGTAGCCGTACAGTTATGATGCATATGACGACACAATTCATCTGCGGGACAGAGTAGTCCGGGCTGTATCTGATCCGGACTCATTTATTTCAAATAAAATAATAATAAAGCTCCGGTGATAACTTCGGCCATTACGCGCCGTAGCACAGCCGCATAAGAGTAAAAGTCAGCCGTCTATGGCCGTGATGTATATTCTCACAAAATCGGGATCGATTACTGAATTAAAGATGTCCGTTTAATCAGCAGAGGTAATAATTCGTACCGAATTTTATAAGAAATTTTCGTTTAAAATAAAGAACGAAAAAAAAAAACGGAGGGTAATTTGGCAGGGTCGGGGACGAGGATGAAAAAAAAAATCTCTCCTCGTCCCCATTTAGCTCAACAAGAGATATCTCCATCCGGTCCTTCACATTTCCCATTTAAACGACAATTTTTCGATCTAAATGAAAAAAAAAATTCACACAGAGAATTTCCACAAAAAAAAAAAAAAATGGAAAATTTCGTGTACATAAAACTTGAAATAGGAGGCAAAGATGAAGATAGAGAAGGCTTATAGACAACTTTATTGATGATAGACCCGATATTAAAAGCTAACGCTATGATAGACCCGATATATATATATATAATCCGATAAAAAAATGGATAAAATCGGGGCGAATTTAGAGATATAAAGTGTTTGAATTATCATCTTCGTTTCTCTGTCATTCCCATTTGTCAATAATTCCCTAAACTCCAATAATAATCTCTTTCTCTCTCTATAGCTATACTTTGATCAACCTCCATGGACGGTGGTGGCCACCGAAGCTCGAACAACGGGTACCTGGCTCCGGGGTTCCGATTCCACCCGACGAACGAAGAGCTGATAGCTCATTACCTTTTGAAGAAGGTGCTGGACTCCCATTTTTCATCACCCGCCATAGCTTATGTCGACCTCAACAAGTCCGAGCCTTGGGACCTCCCTGGTCAGCTTTTTATTCTCTTTCTAGGGTTTTTCTTCGTAATGGTTCACCATTATTTTTATATTATTTATATTTTAACATGATATCAGGGTTATCAAATCTTATAATAAGTGTGATGTGCGTCATGTAATTTTATAATTTTATAATAAAAAAATTATTTTTTAACTATGAAATATATATATTTGAATTATTAATCAAATTTATTTTAGCTTCAATTCTAAAAATATTCGTAAAAATGAATAAATAAAAGTAATTTTTAAATGTTTAATATATATATTTTAAATATAGTAATTAAAAAAAGAAAGTCTAAGAGAGAGAAATTACAGAGAAAGCAGTAATGGGAGAGAAAGAGTGGTATTTCTTCAGCCTACCAGACCGGAAGTACCCAACCGGGCTGAGAACGAACCGGGCGACGGAGGCCGGCTACTGGAAGGCCACCGGAAAAGACAGAGAAATAACCAGCTCTAAAACAAACTCAGTCGTCGGGATGAAGAAGACCCTCGTCTTTTACACCGGCAGAGCTCCTAAAGGCCAAAAAACCCACTGGGTTATGCACGAGTTTCGTCTCGCCGGAAAATTCGCTTACCATTTTCTCTCCGCCGACTCTTCCAAGGTTCCTCTCTTTTCCTCTCTCTCTCTCCTTTGTTTTTGGTTGAACACGACGGCGGCCACCAGTCGCCGTCGACGTTCAATTCCGGTCCCGAACAAGGTGGAAAATCTCCGTTTAAATGGAGAATGAGGGGAACGGAGATGAGGATTATTTCATATCCTGTCCTTGATCCCAACCCCAATCCCCGCCCTAATAGCCATTTATTAATGGTTTTTTCATTTTTTTAATAGATATTACGTTAAAAAAAAGAAAATTATCTATTAAATAATGGGGACGAAAATCCCAATAGAGAATGGCCATCTCGATCTCCATAAAAATAAATAGATAATTTTATGAAAATGAAGAATGAAATAAGAGGCAAGATGAAATTGTGAGTCAGAAGAATTAGGTGTTCGTATTATAAAGTAGAATAGGTGTTCGTATTATAAAGTTTGGCATCACATTTATGAACGCACATGTAAAATATCATTCATGATTTTCAACCTTATATTAAATATTAAAATGTTGTAACTATATGGTTGCCTTAGAATTAATGTTGTAACTATATATATATATATAATAAATATGAAACGCAGGAAATGTTATATGTTTTGTGATATCTGGACACGCAGGATGAATGGGTGATATCCAGAGTTTTCAAGAAAACCAGCGAACGCCATGCACGGCGGCGTGATGAAGAAAACTTGCCGCGATCCCCAACCCACTTCCCCTACCTTGGTGTCTCTGCCTCCTCTTCTCGATTCATCTCCCTACCTCTCCGCTGCTGCCGACACCAGTATCAGCACCTCCGCCTTCGCCAACCGCGACGGCAGCTCTCTCAACGACCAAAGGGAGCACGAGCTGCACGTGACCTGTTTCTCCATCAACAACCTGAGCTACCCCGCCGCAAGCTTCCCGGCTGGTGGAGGTCATAATCTCTCCGTCTCGGCCTTCCCGAACCTCCGGAGCATCCAGGAGAATCTGCAGGCGCCGTTCTTCTCCCCTGTGGGTCCGCCGCTGGTTCATCTCGTCTCCGGTGCCGCTGACGTGGATGGGTGCGGTGGTGCTCCGTCGCCGGAGGATTCGAGGACTATCGGTTCCGGCGATTTGGGTGCTTATATGTGGAACTTCTGAGAATCTCTCTCTAATCTGATGAAAGGAAAAAAAATATAAATCTTTATATCAAATTTGTGGACAATGAAATCAAACAGCTCTTTTTTTGTAATGGAATGTCGAGGTCCAAGAAATATTGATGAAAATTTATAAAAATCATGAAAACTTATATTTGACCATGCATAAGCTCATCGTTTCCATACATGAAAGTAAGGAATTCTCTTCCTCATGCTTAACAATAGCCTTGTTGCTCATTGTTGCTCATTATTGTTGCATATGCTCATCGTTTCCATAATTGAAAATTGCTATGATCCAAATTTCTACATATATTCGTTTTAGTCTATTACGTATCACCATTAGCGTCATGCTTTTAAAACGCTGTCTACTAAAGAAAGATTTTCACTCCTTTATAAGAAATACAAGACGACTATTACTCTTATCCTCATTCATTTCTGCATCTATTTGGTTAATAAATTACAAACTGAAGAATGGGCGCTCTGATTTTAACATCTACAATTAGATAATGATGTTCAACCCCGAGGGAGATTCCATGACAATCTTTATCCAGTCCGAACGATCCAATACGCCAGAGCTTACACGTACCTGATAAGCTCGACCGCAAACTTTCCCTTCTTTGTAGGATTTATTTCGCCAATCTGAATACGAGGAAAACAACCAGAAGTCAGAAATGCTAAAGCTCGAAAACCTTTAGTGCAACTAGTTTTGGTTTCAACTGAATTAAGAATCACACCTTTAGTCTCCCTTTCCCACTAACAGAAACAATATCACCAGTCTTTAGTATGGTTCCATTTTTAGTAATCGTCGTCCAATTGACGCGCACATCACCGCTGCTGCTCATGTAATAATTTCAGGTTCATATACTTTCACAAAAGAAATAGGAGATAAGACATTGCAATACCCTATTTCCTAGAAACTTTGACAAAGTTGTCTGTTATTATACATTATCATATGATGGCACCATTTAACTATCTACTTATACTTTAAAATGATGCCTAAAATTTCAGAGTAATTAAAGTCAAACAGGCAAATGAGCAAAAAGGTGTAAACCTATGGATTAAGTCAACTCTATTCCGCTAGTAAAAGTAGGTAACAGGGGAGAAGCACGATGGCGTAAGGATTCAACAATGCAAAAACTGTCATAAGTCTTTCCTATTCTTTTCCGGGTTTTGGAACTTAGAAAATAGTTCTTCAAATTGATCGTTCAAAAAAATTGAAACCCTTTTCTTGGATCATTATGATACTTTCCAAGAAAAAAATGAAATTCTGAAGGAACAATACAATTATTTTTGTTCAATAATATACAAAATTGATAATTGATTCATTTCTTGCTAGAAATTATCATAATGTGGAAAATTAATAGGTTAGTAGAAGCCTGTGTACCTGATGAAATCCACTAGTTTAGACCGTGAAATCTTGAATCCAGCACTTGCTAGAGCATCAACCCTAAGAGATGCCTCAATGGTTTTAAATGTCTTAGTCCTGTAAATGAAATAAGAAAATACTACATTAAAATAAACATGGATACCAATATGAAATGTTATTGATATAACTTCGTACTTTGGTGGTTCATAATCGAGATCTGTCAACGGAATCCTCGTACAAGAAACCGTGACATTGCCAACCTGAAATTAAGAATGCCAAAACATATAAAGAGATCAATGAAGCAAATTTACAAATAGTTTGAATTGCTCTATTAGACCATGCAGGGTTTCATATGCACAAGAAACGCAGTCAGAGTTCAAAAAAAAACATATTTCCATTCTATGTTAATTTCAGTATTATCGTGTTAGAACCAACCGCCATAGATAACGACACTACCTTGTGCAGCGATGATACAAGGAAGTCGACGAGTTCTGGAACAATAACTACTTGAGCTCCCTTCTCTTCCTGAAAGTAAGGTATAAGAGAATAAAATAAATCTAGCCCATGATAGCTTTATCACAATCTTTTATTGAAACCTAAAAATTTTACACAAACCTAAATTGAATCTTTTGCAAAAAGTTTTGCTTTGAAAGATAAATTTGATCAGTTTTGATCAAAATTCTGGACATAGTCAGGAGGCTGCAAGAGCATGATAACCCAAAACACAATTTTTACCATCAATTTTTGGGATTTGTCAAAGAAAATTTTACCTTCTCAGCATAAAACTAATGCAGAGATGATCAAAGTGAAACACATTTATTATACTTACAAGAACACAAATCCGTAATAAAGCAAAACCAACAATAGCAATACGCACGAAGCATCAAATGTGCAGTAAGAATAAGAACAAACAGTTGTAATTATACTTAATAACGCACATACTAATACCTGAAGTATGATATCACCAAGCTTTTCCCTAGCAATGCCTGTGCCAAGAATTGCTCCAAGGAAGTCCCCATGTGTGCAGGTGTGAAACATAAAATTTCCTGTGATACTGGGCAGGAAAAAAAAATACCCTTAAAAGGAAGGACAAAAGAATAACGGATTTTACTCGAGCTCAATTAAAATGGACTGGTGTGAAAGATTAAAGAATAGTACCTCAACGCCGAAACAACGTCTGGATCACTTGTTAGTTCATCAGCATGCCCAACAGAAATCCGACAGCGCTCTGCCTAAACATTTTGCCAACTTGAAATAAGTGTGGTATCAGCAATAGATCTTAGATTCATAAACACAATCCCCAACTGAAAAAACAAAACAAGACCTTTATATTTTCACCTCTGGATATCCTCCCTGCGCTATTGCTTTTACATCGGCTAGTTTTTTAATGGCTAGCATTGACTCTTTCACCACAGGTGGAGTGAGAAAGTTTGTATGGAGAACTTCTCGTCTTGATAACGAACGTTTGGCCTAAACGAAACCAAAAAGAGCAAAGGAACAAGAATCATCCCTCACTTTCTACTTTTTATATGAGTTTCAACAAGATAAAAGGGGAAGAAACGGGACTGCACTTTTCCCTTTAATTTTCTATAAACTTGAAGATCCAACCTTCTTAAATCTTTGCAGATGGATAAAAAAGACAGACGAACAATAAACTTGTAAGGCTCTAGTCTTAAATACTAACATGTCAGTGAGAGTTTTTCAGGATTCAATACCATAACAAGAATATGTTTCACATCTACAATAACACCTTTATCTCCAACTCCATTGAGTAAAACATCAATGTCTCCCTTTACAGCTTGCACTAATTGGCACATTCCTGGAACGAAATTGCGACAATGAATAACTTGCAAATATTGAAAAATTTAAGCAACAACACTTGGGTTAACATTCAGGATTTCATCAAGAAGAACTAAAACCGAGTATTTTCATCCATTTCATGTACAATACATTCGAAATTAAAATTTAGCTAATAAAAGACAAGTTTATAAACGGAAAATGAATTCCAATTGATACTCAATACAAAGCTCATTATCTCCTGAACTAATTGATCGATTATTTTGATCATAGCAGCAATCACAGTGCAATTCAAGGACAAATCCGCTCACTAAACAATACTAATTCACACTTTTCTCTAAGAACAATCAATAGAGAAGAAGCGAATCGAAACCTGAGGATCCCAGAGGAGAAGATGGAGAAGTGGGAAACCGGGCCTCGTGGAATGAGACCTTGCTGAGATTAACGGCAAGGGGAGTTCGTAAACTGGAAGATTGAGCTGCTCTTCTTAGGCTCCACAGAGCTCCAATGCTCGCAGTCGCTGCGGCCATGGTTAGTGCGTATCGTCCTGAACACCGGCGCCAGATTTTCCTATACATAATTTTACATTTATTATTTCTCAATTAAAAGAAAATACTCAATTATACAATTTATTATTATTATTATTTTTTTTTTTTTTCTTGAAATGGGTCAATTATATGTTTTTTTTTATAATTATTTTCTTTTCATAGCACCCAATATGCTTACAGGCCCATGGGCTCCAAACGAATGCAATCAATTGAGCCCATTTGATAGTAAAGCCCATCAACAAATATCTATTAATTGCATTTGTTTAAAAAGAAAACATATTAATAATTAAAATTTTATAAATCATAATTATCATTAATATCGGATATAAAACGTTAAATATTTTTAATCTTGTAAATTAGTCAGGTAAAAAATTAGTATTTAATGTAAACTCAAAAACAAATTATTTTATCTAAAATTGTATTTATTTTAGTAGCCATTAATTTTAGATTTTAGTTCTTTTAAAAATCACCTAAAATTAAAAATTAAATTATCAAAACCTATTAACTTATAACTAAAAAAGGTAATTAAGTCATAAATGGTCTATAAATGTTTGGAACTTTAAATCTAATTACCTTAATTTAAATAAATAAATAAATAAGAAAAAAAAAGCATTAAATTCGGTCAGCTGACCGGTAAAATTGGGGCTATTTAAATTCTGCGGGGCCCAACTTTTCAAATAGTCACGTGCGTCCAACTTTATATCTCACGGCTCGTAAGGCTCCACGTCAGGTTAAGATCTTGCGGCCAATAGCCGCTTTACAAGTAGGGTGTAAAATTTACTTGAGTGATCGCGTCAACATCTGATCCGATCTCTCGGATCTCCCGCCGCCTAAATATTTAGCCATTTAAAGTTCGACAAAATTTTTTCAATAATAAAAATTTCCAATATTACAAAAATTACTCAAATATTTTTTTTTTCAAAAGTTCTAAAATTTAATATATTGTTGGATAATAATTTTAGTTTTTAAAAAAATATGGGTCAGATTATTCTTTTTTTAATTATTTTTGAAAATCATATGTATCCGTAATACAGTTATACGTGCGTTGAGCTGTAATTCTATTTTTTTTTTTTTGTTGGTGGGTTGACTCGACAAAAAAAAAATGTCAACCACCCAAAATTTTAATTTTTAAAAAATTCAATCAAATTAAAAAAAATATTACCCAACTCAACCTTGTAATGTCAAACTCGTGTATTCATGTTCAGTCCATCAAGAGGACTCGAACCGACAGTCGCCTAATTAAAAGTCAAACACCTTATCCATTAGGCCATGGGTACTATTTTTATTATAGTTACTTGTATACAATTGAATTTTTAAGTTGCCAAAATAGAGGAAGCCGACTTTTGTAGGTTGGCATAGTTGTATACAAGCTAACCCAAAATGATGGACTGAGTAAGGTTGTGGAAACTGACCCATGTGTGTCAATCAGAGCCTAACTAGACGTGGATCGATCAAGAACAAATCAATATGGGAGAATATACTCTTGACTCTAAACTAGACCTACCTTATAAAAGCCCATGGACTAAAAACCATATGAACATCATTCGAGTTTGAGAAACCAATAACCATGAGGCTCTCAGACAATTTTGGATCGACCCACAAGGGTTATCAATGGTTGAGAACTAAGGTTTCAGCCTCGGTTACGGTCAACAAATTAATTGAATAACAATTAACTCATTCTAAGAATCGGGACGAGATTATAACTATACCTTATCCAATTTTTGGGATGCTTTTTTATTCCACGGTTTTCTATATAAGAAATATTAAAATAAAGGAAAATTGGGTATTTTAAATAGATATTTACAACCAACTTTATATTTTAAATTTTAATTTGGATAGATTTAATCTTAAATATTATATCTTAATATTCTTTATTTTATGATTTGATTGGTCGTATATTTTATTTTATTTTTAATATTTAATTAATTTATATTTGGTAGGTATTGGTGGGTAGCTTGTATTCTATGAATATCAATGAAAATACAGATCTTCAATCCCAATTCTATTTCTCATTCTTAACACAATTCAATTCATTTCAAACGGAAAAATTAACTCAACCCAATTATTATTATATTTTAAATTTTTAACTAATTTTCATTTTTTTTAAATCATTAAACAAAATAAATGGTTTATTTTGCTTAAAAAATAATCTAAAGCACATGGGATGGCTGATGATTAAAATAATAAAAATTAATTATAAAATTCATATGGGAAATCAAATTTCTACAATAAAATAAAACATTTATGATATTTAATTAATAAAAATGAAATTGGATGCTTAAAATTCAAAACTTTGAATGTCATTGAATTTGAATATACAATTTCTATATATTTTTTTTATTTTCATATATTATTTAATTTTATTCAATATTTATTATTTGACCAATTTTTTTTTTTTTTGTTTAAATAGTCTCGTGTAGTTTCCATATATATTAATTATTTGTATTGCTTAGTTCCAAATTAATCTTTATTTGATTAAATAAATAATAATTTTGATGTATATTCTAAGATTTACTTCGAATACACGAACCAAAATAAAAAAAATGTCTAAAATAACAATTAATTTTGATCACGATGACAATTTGATAATAATTATAGATACGATAATAAATAGATTAAAATAAACCTCATCATTCAAAAAATTTAATCAACCCAACCCAATCCAACCGGTACGATTTTATTGTTAATTTTAAAATATATATTTTTATTTATTTTTATAATTATTTATTTTCCAACCAAATATAATTTTAATGGACAACTCAACATTCAATTATTACTATACTTGTCTTTTATTGTTTTAAATCTATCTTAATTATTAAATCTTCAATTTTTTTGATTTTTTTTAGTTAAATAAATTTGAACATCTGATCTCTTATGTCAATCATATACAGCTAAACGAACTGATATCTGATCTCTAATAACATTAAACTTAAGAATTTGGATATCTAATCTCTGCTAACATATGTCTGTTATTTTAGTTAAAAAACAATGAATATCGAGATTCAAATTTCCATTTATACATATCTAGATTAGTTGAATTCCGGATAATCTACCACCCAACAAGATCAAAATCATATTTTTAACCTAAATTTGTGGTTCTTGACACATGAGAGTTGAAAGAACAAAAAAAAAAAAAAATGGAAAAAGATAAAAAACTTTGAGACAGTCCACAAGATTCCGGGATGATTTGAAAATTGAAATGAAGGGAAGCTTATGAGATACGTTGAATTTCACATGAACGCGAGGAATGGGGGGAAACAAATGGCAAATAGGCTTAAACAAAGGGAAGGTCCCAAACTTGGCCGAAGAAATCCGAACAGGTTTTTCATCCATTTCCTCATATAAACACTTGTCCTCCTCCTTCCCCTTTTGCCCAAAAAAGCTCTTCCCCATTTCCTTTCAATTCTCTCCGATTTCTATTCCTTGTTTTTAATTGTTTTTGCCTTGAACCAACGCCATTCAAACATCAACAACAACCCCCCAGGTTTCTTCTCTCTCTCTCTCTCTCTTCATTCTTCTTGCGTTTCTTCCTTGTGTTCTACGTATTCCCTTTCCCCCCATTTCGTTTCTTGTGCTGTGATTCTGTTTTTTGGTGTTTTTGTCTTCTGGGTATTGCTGTTTCATCTTCCCCTGCGATTATTCCCTTGTGGGTATTCGTGAAATCGTTTGTTTCTTTGATTTACTCTTCATTTTGGTTGTTTTTTTTAATGGGTTTCTTGAATTTCTTTGATGTTTTTCCCTCTAGTTTTGGTTTCTGTTTAATGATTTGAGGATCTGTTCATCTGGGTTGCTCTTGTTTTGCTGGATTTTCATGGCATTTTGTTGTTCTTGGACTGTTCCATGGCTTCCCCTGTTATGAAAATGTTGTTAATCAATCTTCATCGGCTATGTCTTGCCTGATTTGGAATGTATAAACTAGGGTTTCTGCTTAATTATCTATTACGTTTCAATATCGTCAATGGATTTGGCTGTTCATCATTGATATCAAAGTTTTGGTTTAGAATTTTGGGTCGTGTTCTTTTTTCCCTTTAAACTACTTGAGCTAGTAGTTCACGCGAAGCTTGAGGAGATTGTTCATTGAAAATTAATATAAAATGTTGATTTGTTGGTATTCATCAACCTGGTGTGAAGTATAATTTATTGATTTGTTGCATTTCTTAAGGGCCTTCTCCAAATTTGGACTGCTTGAGGTTGCCATTTGGTTGTCTTTTGGTTGCCTTGTTGTTATCAAAATATTGGGAAAATTGGCGTTGATATCAATTGAAACTGGAGTTGATATCAATCCATGATAAGATCTTGTGATGGGGTCCTTGAACTTGGAGAGGAAATGGATGTTTCCTCTTGTGATAAGCTCTTTGATATGCATTTTTCTTCTTGTTACCTTCTTCAACATGGGTCTCGTCTCTTCGCTTTACACGATCAATTCGTTTTTCGCTATCTTTCCCGCTCGAATGACTATGAACTACACGAGTGGTGTTTTTGCTGAAACAAAGTTTGTTCAACCTCCACCTCCGGCTGGACCAACCATCCCTCGTTTCGCTTATTTGATTTCCGGGTCGAAAGGCGATTTGGAAAAGCTATGGAGAATTCTTAAAGCATTATATCACCCTTTGAATCATTATGTTGTTCATTTGGATCTCGAATCACCAGTGGAGGAGCGATTGGAATTGGCATTCCGAGTCGGAAACGAGTCGCTTTTTGTTGAAGTTAATAATGTTTTCATGATCAGCAAAGCCAATATGGTTACTTACAGAGGACCTACCATGGTTGCTAATACTCTCCATGCTTGTGCCATTCTTCTTAAGAGGAGTAAGGATTGGGATTGGTTTATCAACCTCAGTGCTTCTGATTATCCTCTTGTCACTCAAGATGGTTCGTTTCTTGTCATTTAACTTATGAATTTGTTCATCTTAATCCATTTTGATTCAAATTCCGTTCGCTTTACGTCGCAGATCTTCTTTATACGTTCATGAATTTAGATCGAAACCTCAATTTTCTCGAGCATACGAGCCAGTTGGGGTGGAAAGAGTTAGTATACCATCCTCACATCTCTCATATTTGAACATATCAAAGTACTTATAGTTGTAGAGCTGTTGTTCTTGATTGTATTCAACAGGGATAAACGAGCAATGCCGTTGATCGTTGATCCCGGCCTATATTTGAGGACCAAATCCGACATTTTTGGTGTCAACCCATCACGAACATTGCCAACAGCGTTCAAGTTGTTTACCGGTTTGTGTTCCTCTTTAAGTTGAATCTAGTATGCACTTGTCTATGTTGAGCGGAGCTAGTTCAAAGTAGTTTGGTGAGATTTCACGTCGGTCGGTTAGGAAGGAGAATGAAACACCCTATATAAGAGTGTGGAAACCTCTCCCTAAGACAATATCTAGTAGCAGTGGGTTTAGACCGTTGAGGTGATTCGGTCTATATTTGATTGGTGCAGGTTCGGCATGGATGGTTCTATCTCGTGGATTTGTGGAGTATTTGATTTGGGGTTGGGACAATCTTCCAAGGACACTTCTGATGTACTACAGTAATTTCGTGTCGTCCCCGGAAGGTTATTTTCACACCGTGATCTGCAACGTGCCGGAGTTTGCTGATACGGCGGTGAACCACGACTTACACTACATATCATGGGACACTCCGCCGAAGCAGCATCCACACATACTTAGTATCAACGACACAGAGAAGATAATGAGGAGCAATGCGGCGTTTGCTCGGAAGTTCAGACAAGATGACGCGGTGTTGGATAAGATCGACAGGGAGTTGCTTGGTCGGAACAAAGGAGATTTGACGCCTGGTGGTTGGTGCGGAGGCCAGCCCAAGTGTTCGACGGTGGGGGATCCGATGAAACTGAAGCCAGGGGAAGGAGCTCAACGGCTTCACCGTCTCATAGCTAGACTTGTTTTGGCAGCTAAGTCCGGGGAAAACCAGTGTAAATGAATTTGTTACAATTAAAACAAAACAAAGCAAGATTAGTGCCAATATTAATTAGCATATTATTAATATGCCTTTTCCCACCATGTTTCTCTTTTTATCTTTCATTTTCACCTCTTTTAGATCTTCAATCTTTGTATTTTGTGCGGAAAAGAATTGAATAAATAAAACGTCTTTACTCGCTCTCATTTTCTTTTACAATTAGAGATGTATGTTTAATCTTTGGAGTCGGGGTCTTGTGGGGACCCATCTTAAATGGGGAGGAAGTGAGTCTGGCCTCGCGCGATCAGCGATCAGCCTCAAACCAGATAGAGAATGGATTAATTATTCTCTACCCATTTCACTTTTTATATATGAATATAAATATAATTGAATTTATTAGAAAGACTTACGTTTTTTTAAATATTGGAAATCACTATAAATTTTGGTAGATTGAAAATTGAAGTAGGAGGTGAGGACGAGGACGGGGAAGGGTTCCCTTCCTCATCTCCGCTCCATACGGTGAACATCTCTAGTCATAATTAGAGATATTACAATTTAAGATTTTTTTTTTCACTTTTTATATTTGTTTAAAAAAGTATTTAAAAGAATAATGGACAATTTCCATACCTTAAAAAAAATATAATAATATTTAATAAACAAATAGATCATTGTTCCAACATAATTTTAATAAAATTTCAATATACTTATTTAAATAAATGAAAACAAGAACATATATAAGTATATAATAGGCGCTTAAATTTATTATTAACAAAAAAAAAAAACTCTTTCTTTAAGATACATTTGTTTGTTAGTAATTATGCTGTTAATCCATTGATTTTGATTTAGTCCATGTGGATATGATTTTATTGACACGTGGCCAAACTTAAAGAATAAAAAAGAAAATAAAAAAGGGAGATAAGCCTAATTGGGGAATTATTATAACAGCCTTGACTTCGAAATACGTGGAAAGTCCATTTCCAAATTGCCACGAAAATTAGTGCCAAAAATCATAACTAAAAAGAATTTGAGGTGGTTGACTTTGACTTTGACTTTGACTTTGTCTTTTCCCTTTTATTTATCATTCTAAATTTAGTTTTGAAGTTATCTTTAATAAATAAATAAATAAATAAATAACTAAATAAAAATTGTTGCACCATTATCCATACAATGGATAATTATATTAATTTTTTTTTTTAAGTAAGTCAAATAATTTCTTCATTCTTAAGAAAATTTATTGTTTCAACAAGTCAAATAGTTTCTTCACATCTACACATTTCTAGTTGAAGAATCACTCCTTAGGATCTGAATCAATTTTTAATAATGACGGGATGATTTGAGCAACACTTGAAGAGATAAAATAAGCATCGAGTCAATGCCTCGTTATATTCATCATCGACGTACCCGTAAATTAGAAGGTTTGAAATGAGAAATAATGAAAGAAAAGTCTACTGCATTGCAGCATTTGCAGCCTGCTTCTTTGGCCATTCTCTGGTTCAACAATTCTCTAGATGATGAAACAAAACAATCTCACATCCACTTAAATTATACACAGCCTAATAAGATCAATCTATGGCCAAAACATTTTAGAACCCTACATAATTTGCAGCGTGTTACCTTGCGAGAAGAGAGGAAGAATTTTCTCTGCTTTTTTTCGTCGTTAAAATATAAACTAGAGCTAAGAAAAGCCTCGACTCGACTCGATGTTCTTAGGAAGACTTGTCTGTACAGCAGGAACCACCACCCAATCGTTTGATCATATTTCTGGTGTGATATCTGCTCACCCTAATAATGAACTCTAGCATTTGATGTCTTTTTGATATCTACCCATCTCCCAGGTTAACGACCGGAGACGAATAATGAATTTGTCGACATCTGTTTCCCGTCAACTTGAACCTTTCGTGCCTTGGCCTTGTCGAGCCGAGCTCGTCTTACTGCCTCTTGGATATGACGATCGTGGTCCTTCAACATTTGGTCCATGTTGCCGGAAGGAACCAGTAATGGACCAGAGTAATGAATCTTATGACCTTTTGAGCCATAACCCACCTGTTGTATTAGTAGTACGTACACATGAACAGATACTCAGAAAACAGTGGTAAATGCAGATGAGTTGAGAAAAAATCATGGTAAATGCAAGAAAAATGCACTTGAAGGCACGGTAAAATACGTCGTTCGCATACTTACAACTATAGGGTCTTTGGTGCTGCACCTCTCTTTGTCGTGTGAGCCTACGATACTGTGATTTGAGAACTTCTGGTCGGGTAGCATAGAGGATTCCGAGGTTTCCTTGAAGGAACCAGGAAACCTGCCAATTAGTTTTTTAACCTCTCCTTGTGAAGCGTCAGACTTTTCCCCCAGCATACTTCTTCTAGGTGCTACTAGTCCTGAAGTTGTGAACGTATCGGCCCCGGTTGAGATTTTCGGAGCGTCATCTGGGTTCTTACTAGCCTTTACCCAAGCGGCCCGCTGAGCAAGTGGTCCTGAATGTGAGGCTTTCTTAGGATGACGCACCTGAGAATCCGTTCGTTCTGCTCCTTGTGATGGTCTAGGTGGATCAATTGGAAAGCCAGAAGCTTCTTCTGGGTGTGGATTAAACTTTTCACTCCGGCTCTTTGAATTGGATTGTCTTTTCTGCAAATGAGTAATCTTATTAGCAAAATATTTCAAGATAAAATAGCGTGCTTAAACAGACGTTGGATAATCAGTTGGACTCCGGCATCTAAATTGTAACTCCTCTACAAAATGGTTCCGTTTAATGTTCAACAGAAAGTTACCTGCATTGATGAGACTAACTCAGCATTGGCATCAGGTGCAGGGACGGCTCGAGACTCTCTATCTTTCCTTTGCAGGTCATGTCGGTGTCCCTTGCTTCCTACCGCTCCTTGTCTACGAAATTAATCACGGAACGTTATTTAGAAAACATGTAAATTGTTCTCATCGTGCAAGTCCAGATAGAACTACAGAAGGAACCGTGTAGTACATGGATGATCGTGTAAAAGATAACATAGTTATGATCTATCAACTGAAAAATATCTCCCAAGATTAACTAGAACGAAACGTGACACTCGTCAGCCAACAGAGAAAGAAGCAATAGTATCTAGGGTGTGTAAGTGAGTTGGTTCAAGTCTAGCAAAACAACCAAAATCGTCAAGATTCCAAAAACGAACTGATCCCAACTAGTGTTTAGTTTTATATTTCAGAAACCAAACCAATCACCATATAAACTTCAAAATCTATCCAAACCAAGTCAGCTCGATCAAACGAGTCCATGTTATGGTTTTGGCTTGCATCCATACTAGTATCAGTATCTCCCGATGATGTCGAAAATTATTAGCCAGTAACTGTGTTTGGATTAACTCCAACCCTGTGTCCCCCCAGTGATGTTGAAAGTAACCTCGAGCGCGACTGGATTAACTTCCTAAATAATTTTGAACCAAAAGTATTTTTCAAAAAGTCTATAGAACTTTATTCCTTGTAAATTTATTCCCAAGATGCATTAAGAATATCAGACATCACAAATTTATTTCTTGTAAGATTTAGTGAGGCAAGTAACTTGATACTATTCCACATCCAAGAGAAATAAACGCTAGATCTTGATATATTTTGTAGTATAACAAATACCTTCTAGCTTCCTCATCCCTTATCTTGGCATCAAATTCTTTGCTCGGAGGATACTTCGGCAAGCTCGAAGGATCACAAGGAAGTGGCTTCGTTGAAAAAAACTGAAATAAACAATTCGAAACAGTCAGGAATATAAACGTAATGTCCAGAGAGACTTCGCCAACTCAAGGTGAGCAACAAGGTTTTAAGTTAATAAATTTTGAACAATGGCTTGAACCAAGGACCCTAGAGAGTAACTCCAAACATTCTAAGTATACCACTATAAAACTTTAAACTGATCAACACAACTTGATAAATACAACATAGATAAATATAGAGAGAGATGCAGACACTTGATGGAGATTGGATACTCTATTATAACAGTCATATAAGAAAGATTATATAACCCATATCACAACATACTTCGCTTTTAAGGGCAAGAGCGGCAGAGCCACGATCAGCAGGATCTATAGAGAGTAACATCTCAATGAGAGCTAAAGCTGGTGCAGGGAAATCCTTAAACGTGTCAGCAACGCAGCATCTATAGGGCTGTTGGGGCTTAAATATCGTTGCATGTGGCAGCCTTGATTTTCTCCAATAATCCTCTGAAGGAGAGCCACAGAGTTTAAATATTTTATGTAGCTGCTCCACCTACAACACATAATGCCGGTGTAAATACTTGACTCGATAAGCATCATATGCTCGGGAATCAAAATAGCAAACATCGGATAGAAACATAAAGAAGCACACAGCTTCTAATTGGTACATGTTATGACAAGAAAAAACATAGACATGATCTCATAAGATATTATAAAGCCAGTGACCAGAAATGAATATTGAATTAACATGATCTCATAAGATAATAATAAGCTAGGAGTTTCGGTTTAAGTCAGATATAGAATTTGGCGAAAAATAATATACCTCTGTTCTTCCTGGCATAATGGGCTTCCCAGCATACAATTCAGCAAGTATGCAGCCAGTACTCCACAAATCTACAGCTGTACCATAATAAGTAGCACCGAGTAAAAGCTCAGGCGGTCTATACCAAAGAGTTACAACCCGACTTGTCAGCGGCTGATTTTGGTGGATATCAAAAAAACTTGCTAAACCAAAGTCTGCAATTTTCAAGACGCCATTATTGTCGATTAAAAGGTTGGAACCCTTTATATCACGATGCAGAACTCCATGACTGTGACAATGATCAAGTCCATGCAAAAGTTGTTGCATGTAACATTTAACCTGCCCTCAAGATAAATTAGACTTTAAATATCAGTGATCCGGTATAAATAAGTGAACCGGGAATATGCAAAAGTAGTTTCTTCAAATGCTTTGATTAGACATCAAAAAGCAAAGACCTCGACATTGATAAATGATAATGGAATAAAATCCTGCAGTTACCTGTGCCTCTGTAAACTTTACACCAGGGTGTGAAGCAAGTCCTGCCAAGTCGTGTTCCATGTACTCAAATACAAGATAGAGGCTGCAAGACATCCTTGACGTAACTAGACCCTCCAGCTTTATCACATTTGGATGATCGAGCCGACGCAATATGTGAATTTCCCTGGCCATAAAGCGGACGCTCTCAGGTTCCAGATTGTCGAACCTTACTTTCTTCAAAGCAACAATTTTCTTTTGGTCAAGGTCACGAGCCCTATATACATTACTATAAGTCCCTTGACCAATCTGCACAAGTGATCATTTCTTCATTATTAGTATCATCCTATTAAGATTTAAAACAAAGCATCATTACTATCATCCTAAAAATTAAAATGAACAATCACAATATGCACAGAAGAGAGACCACTTGAGCCATTCTAAGTAATATCCCACTTACTATCAGACATCTTCACTAGAGCCATTTCCAAATATTAACAAAAATAAAATGGTATGTACCAGTATGTTTCGATTGTTCCTCAAACAAAAGTGCAATTGTGAAACTTTCGGACTCCGTAGTCTCATTATTATCCTACTGAAAAAGTCGATCTACGTAAAGCAAGCTACATTAATCACCATAACCAACAAGTATGCGAGGGGCAGCTCCAGCCTTCAATAAATAAAGTGAATGCAAGAACAGCTCCAATAAAGGGCATTGTTGGATCATCTAGTGCATCTCTTAATTCTTAAGAAAAGACTGGGAGAGTACTATGTTCAGTCACAAAATGCCAACTCAACGTCTATTGCTCGATTAGAAACATCAATTTTCAGAACGAGGTGTGTGCAGCGTGTCCATTTTTTTTCCCTACTTTCTTCTCTGGGTGTGTGTTTGTTGGGAAGGGGACAATAAAACAATTCAAAAAGTAAATTATCGAAAGAGCGTACTTTATCCAATTTCTCAAAAGAATCAGCGCGTCGGGGTAACCACCCTCTGATTGCCTCTCCAGCAACTGCAGCCAGCCACGGCGGCCAGCCTGCAGCAATTTGGTCTCCCTCTGCTGCCTTTGGAATTCTCCCCATTGAAGGATGTTGAGCAGCCATATGCTCCATCTTCTCCCTCTTCCTCTCAAAAATTTCACTCTGCAATCGACCTGACCCATTCACCTGCTTGTTAATCAATGTCACTATTGCATCATTACCATCATGATGATCTTTAGATCGATAAGCTTCTTCCCTCGACGACGAAGTCACTCTTGCCACCTGCAGGTCGGACGAGGTCTTGTTCGACAGCCTCTCCCTCGGACTTTCCTTGCTATCCTCTATAGCAGAGGGCTTACAACAAACGCAACCCATAATGTACTCAAACCACCCCCAACAATATCCTCCTTCAGAATCAATATTCACCCTTCAAAATCATTCACTACCAATACATCCTCCTCTTCTAACACACCCATATCGTGAAAACTCAAAAAAAAACTTCGAAAGTAAACCTAAAACACCCACAACTTAGCTCATCAGAACCGCAATTCCCATTCCCTATCAAATACCAGAATAGCCACAACTTTCACAGCAGCAGAAACCAAACAAATTTCATCAATTACACCCCAAAATCTTGCAAAATCCTACCAAAATTCAGACGAAATACACATCCAATAACGCTAATAGATTCCAAAACAACACTAGCAGTCTACAAAAAAATCCCTATACGAAATGTAATCTAATCCCACTGAATCGGAACCAAAAGAGTATGGAGAAGAAACCCCAACAAACAAATTCATAAACTGAACTTACAAAAAACCAATGATGAAGCAAAAGGGAAGACGCTAGAAGTAGTTCCACGTTTTCCCAGGCTAGAAACAGCGGAGAGAAAGAAGAAAAAAAGAACAAAAAATGCAGAGAAAAAGAGAGAGAGAGAGAGTGAAGCTTATGGAGTGAACTGGGGCCTGAAAAAGAAGGACATGGATCTAGGGCACGATGATAACAGAAGGTGAATCAAGAAACGGAATAAACCAATAATTAAAAAATTAAATAAAGTTAAATTAAAATCGTAATTTATTTAAGAACAAAACAAAAAACGAAATTATCGTAATTGTCTGAAGCTTTTCGGTAAGAGAGAGAGAGAGAGAGAGGCCTGTGAATAAGACATTCTTCTCGGTTACTCCACGCGCTTATGAAAGTACGTGTTACACACTGCCAATTTATTGGCTTTAATAGCTGCATTTTAAAAAAAAACCAACTTTTAAAAAAATTTATGTATATTTTTTAGATTTTTTCTTTTTAAGCTTAAAGGTATATTATACAATTTTGCGATTAAAAGCCACGCGCCTGAAAAGGAGAGTGAAAGGGTAGCAATAATGTGAAGTTGTGGACGCCCCACTCCTCTCGCTCTCTCTCAGCCTGAGAGGTTATGATCAGTGATGTCGTTTGGCTCTTCTTTTCAATTATTTTTTTCTTTTTTTTAATATTAATTTTTTTAATTTTATTTTATAACTCTTATAAATCTTGTGCATCAATTTTATGTTATATTTAATCAATTTTAATTGCATTATTAAAATTTTAATTTTATATTCTTTTTTTTTGTGAAATTTAAAAATTATAGTTCGCTAATTTATTATATTATTTTTTTAAAAAATCAGAGATAAATTAGATCGAATATTAAAATTTTACAACCTAAACTTGTAATTGACTAAATAATAATAATAAAGATAAATCAACATGACATATGATTCCGATTCTTTGAATATCATAGAGATTTATATCAATTTAGCCCTATATATTTTAAATATGTATAAAATATTAAATAATAAATTGAGTTATATTTAAATTGATATATGGATGTGGTGGGCAATTTTTCGGGCAGTTTTTTTTTTTTTTTATAATTCAATTTACTAATACGACAAAAATATAAATAAATTTATGAGTTTGATATGGATTAAAAATTATTAAATTTTCTGTTGTATTTAGAATTATTTATATAAGAGAATTTAAATGGATTTTTTTTACAATAAAATTTGATTTTAATAATTAAAACGTATTTTAAAGTAATTTTTATATATTTTTAAATCACAAACAAGATACATTCAATTATTATCCATTTATGGTCTTTGTACTTTTTTCATTGGACAAATCTACCCCTACATGGGATACTTCTATTTTTTGTCTTCATTTGACCAAATTTTATTTATTACTTAAAAAGTATGATTGGTAATTATTGAAAAATAGCATTTTTTTTATGTGTATTATTTTATAAATAAATACAATCGGTTGAAATATATATTTTGATATGCCTCCTTCGGTAAAAGTCTACTCTTATCTTTGTCTGAAAATACTCTGCTATGGCTCTCGCACGGTTAAACTTTGTATTATGGCTTTCACATGTTCTTGTCTTGATTTGAAAACACTCAGTCACGGTTCTCAAACAATCGAGCATTGAAAAAGATATTTTACTAATAATAGTGTGTATTCTCCTGTCGTAGCTTAGTACGACGGTTGAGTATGGGCGAAAAATATACTCTTAGCTATTAAAAGGTTCAAATTTCATACCCGAAAAAAATATTTCGTCAAACATATGATTTAAAGTAATAATTAAATGTTATTATATGGTGATATATTTTGTTTATTATGGGCCTACGTGTCATTGTGTCTCCAAAGAGCCTAACATTATTAAAGCCTTTCTCATGCATGCACGTAGATTTTGTTTGTACGTATTAAAAATTCAACTTTTTTGTCCATAAATAATTGACCTAGCTTGATTACAAAAGATCACATGCCACGTCACACTATTTTATTTATTTTTTATAATAATACTAATATATATTACTCGTACGATTATGCTGAGTTTGGTTGGATACGCTCTAAGCTTTAAAATATAAGGTAATACGAGGATAATATAAGGACACACAGTATGGACTAAAGGCACGATGATAATTATAAAGACAAGTCAGAGAAGAACAAACCCTTAAAAAGACCCATTAAAGAGCTTGAAAGAACATAACTTGAGGACAAGTACACTCAAGGTAAGATAAGAACAGTAAATTTTTGGGACGAAAGTTCTTAAGAAAGGGAAAATTGTAAGACCGCAGTGTATCTTTCCATTTATTTTATTGTTATTTCCATTTATTAGTATTTTCATATCTTTGTAATTTATTTAATTATAAATAAGACACAACTTTCACACCATTTAAGTGTGGTGGATTAATCAAACATTCACACACACAGTGATTGTTTTAAAAAAAGGAAAAAAAAAAAACATCAATTTAAATTATACCTAGCCGTTCGATCGTGGACGGTTTTTCACGGTCAAAGTCAAACGATCTTCATAGCCGTTATAGCCATCGCTTAGTTGGACGCCAGCTGTCTCGGCCACAGGGCCTTTCACACGGATCATATAAATTTCTCCCGCACTCGCACTCTCTTCTGCTTCAGCACATTCTCCCACTAGAATCAGAGCGCTCCATCAACGACCTCTTTCCCTCTCGAGTGTTCTTGCCGAAATCAAACGCTGCTAGATCATTACCAGGAAATCAGAGGAAGAGATAGCAGAATCGGAAGAAGTTTTTCGCGTCGTATCGGTGATGAAAAACAGAGGTAATGTAACTTCATTCAGCCTTTTAGTTTTGTGGATAGTTCGCTCTTGACTATTCTGTTCTGGGTTTGGAATTTTAAGGGTACAGCCGGCTGTTCCGATTTTAGGGTTCACTGGAGAACTCAGAGGTTAATCAAAGGATTGTTCATTGTTTCTTTTTCTTTTGCCTGTTATCGACATCTTTTGTATTTTTCGTGGTTTCGATTAAGGAGGATTAGGGCGTTTTTAGTAGGTTGATTGCTTCCATGGAAACGTGGTTTTTTTGTATATCGTGTATCGCAAGTTTCAATTTATCCTCTTGCTCTAGGATCATTGTGAAACGGGAGATTTGCAGTTCTTTCTTTACTCATCTACTGGTTTAAATTTTAACGTCTTCTCATTTGAAGTTCTTGAAAAGTTTCTTCCATCAATGCAGTTTTCACTTCTTCCTTTATTCCAGGGTGGGTATTTTAGTTTCACACCCTCTTGAATGTTCTTAATTTTCCTAGTTGGGTAATGACCCTGGGCTGAAATAACGCTTTTGTGTAGATACCTAGCGCCAAGACCCGTCACAGTCTTCCGGAATAGACTACCACGCGTTGATGGTGGTCTAACATTGTTCATGCCACCTACTTCTGCCTCTCAAACGGTATTTAATTGATAAATTTCTCAATGGCTTTTCGTATTTCAGTCACCCTGAAATTTTGCTTTTGGACGGTGTCGCAGGTGCGTGTATGTGCTTTCCCCGCTACCCGATTGGGCTTTGAAGGGATTGGGATCAGTCCAGACTGCAACCCTGAAAACAGAGCTGGGCCAAGAGAGGTAAATGAGTTCGACAAAGCTCGTCCAACTAGTAGACACATTGTTGTTTTCTCTTTGTAGTTTAGTTTGATCAAACTCTTGCATGTTCTGCATCATATCAGCTTTTCAACTGGGCTGGTGGAGGACGCGGTTGTAACTAGCTGAAGCATAGAGTTATGATGGCGAATCAATCTAAATGGAATATGTAGCAGGCTTGGTGGTAAGTGCTTGTCTTAAACCCAAAACTTTCTGGATTGCTGCTGATCTTACTGCCTCAAAATGGTTAGATACACATATGAATCCCTTTAACAGAATAGAACAAAAGCCTTCATTCATGAATGTGAAGATAAAAATAATTATACAGGTAGATATCAAAAGTCCTGAGTTTATGATGGCCAAGTACAACATTCTCAGGATTTACATGTGCATTTTGCTGCTATTTTACTACTTTCTCAGTACAAGTACAACATTCTTGTATTTTGTTTTCTTCATACAGTATATGCGTTTGTCTTTTGGCACATCCAATGACTAAGGTTAATACCAGAAACTGCGAAGCTGCTGCAATCGACTGAACCATCCTAACTAGTTGACTGTGCTTCAATCCAGCGACAATTTTGTACTTCAGGCTCTGAAATTACAGCCAAACTGGACCAAGGAACCAACCCACCTGGGTTTCTATCAAACAATTTCAACTTCTCCAAGAATCAAACTTCAATTGATTTTTATTAGACTAATTCAATTTGTGAGGGTTAAATTGAGATTAAACTAGAAAACAGGGTAGATGGATGATTTAGTTAAATCATTGTGATTTGATTATTTATGGCTTTTTAGTACGATTGTTTAGTTGAAATGTTCAAAAAAAAAGTCGAAAATAGAATCTTTTTATTAGAATCAGAACAAGTCGGAGTACAAACTCATAAAAGACTGGAAAAGGACTGAAGGACACTAGGATGATTATAAGAACAATTATAAGAACAACACAGAGAAGGACAAACTTGTAAAAAGATCCTCAAGGAATTTGGGAGGACATAACTAAGAACGAGTAGTACTGGAATGAACTAGAGGAACCTCCAAGATACAACACTTCAAAAAATAATGTCGATTATGTCAAGCCTTGTTTGGTATGATGAAGGTCATATGTCGACGCTCTAAGATAGGTAACAAAATGTTAACCAAGAAAGACTATTAATCTTAACAAAAAAAAGATTGAGAAGGCAGTCAAAAGGAACAAATGTTGGAATAAGTCCATCGCCTCCAGACGCAAGTTAAGGACTAAAGGATGCAAGGACGATTATAAGGACAAGGTAGAGAAGGACAAACTCATAAAAAAGACCCTTAAGGAACTTGGAACGGCATAAAGAAGAAGAAGTAGCTGGGTATAAAGAAGGTCATACGCCTTAAACTCCCAGATACAAGGTAACACAAGAATTACTAAGGAACACTTATATTCTCAAAAAAAGATGTTAAGAAGATAGTCAATAGGAAAAATGCCGGAATAAGTCCATGGCCTAAAATCATAAGTTAATAACCTCAAGTAAGGACAAGCCGAAGAAAGACAAACCAAGAACATGGAAGGACATAACTCAGAACAAGTAGTACAAGGAGGAACAAAAGGAATCTGTAAGATACAACCTTCAAGGAATAAGATTGATTATGTCAAGGCTTGTTGAGCATAAGGAAGGCCGAACGCCCTAAACTCAAAGATATTAGGTAGCACAAGGATTACCAAGGAAAGCTTCTATTTTCCACCAAAGATATTGAGAAGATAGTCAAAAGGCACAAACGTCAAGGCTTGTTGGGTATAAGGAATGCAATACACCCTAAACTCGAGACATAAGTTAAGGACTAAATGATGCAAGGACGATTTTAAGGACAAGCTTGTAAAAAGACCCTCGAAGAAATTGGAATAAGATTCAACCCTTAAGAAATAATAGAAATTATGATTATTCATAACATAAATAGTTTCTAATAAATTTTGAACTTTTCACGGTTGTGATTATTTAGTTCTTATATTTTATATATTTTAATAGGTCTTCGAATAATTATTAGTTTTGAAATTTTGATTTTGATTTTGAATTTTTTTAATTAAATAAAATAATTTAGAAAAACTGAGATGGAAGTAAAATTTATAAATTTGATTTCAAAATATGAAAAAGAAAAAAATCAAATGGAGACTAAAATTAGTAAATTAATTTTTTTATTTTAGGAATTTTTTAGCTTATTTAATTTTGTAGCTCAACAATATTTAGGAAGTGTGAAGATTCCAACTTCTTACTTTACATCTTAGTTGAAGGCTTATTTGCTATGTTCACTTTAGCTGTATTATATGAATCTTACACGAATCTGGGAATCTGGATTCCAAATCTTGATCAGCATATAATGAGTTTGTTAATCGAATTAGTTTAAAGGTTTCCATCCCATCTTCTTCCCCATAATCATGGCGGATGGAATTTTTGGGAATTGAAATTGACCCATCGCTACCAAACTTGTTTTGCAGCGCCACAAGAACAATCCCACAGGAAATTGGCTGTAGGGGCGTGGCGTTTACCGCATGAGAAGCAGCAGAAGGTATGGGAATGGAGATGGCGACTGGAAGCAGCGACTATGGCAATTAACCACATCCCATGCTCTCCCGCCCATCTCTCTCGATCTCAACCCCTTCTTTAATTCCGAAGATTTCTCATGGGATTGCCATCCATTATTGCCCATTCCCCATTCCTTCTCTTAATTCTCCCTCTGTTTTCTGCAACAACCCGTTTCGGGTTCCATCCAGTGTGTCGAGTTTAGGATTTTGGTTGGAAATTGGGGGTTGTTTTTCTAGATTTTTTTGATTTATTCGTGCTGGAGATCTTTGTTCATATTTGAGTTTTAGTTCAGTGTAATGTGGAATGGAATGAGGGCTTGTTAGGCGGAGGTTTAGGGTTTTTGACAGATCATGATCAACATCCTCTCGCTGTCAACTCGCACATTGGATCTGGCAGGGGGTTTTTGATTGCTGGGTTTGTACGCTTTGCCATAGAGATTTCCTTTCTTCTAGGGACTCCATTGCTCTTCCACTCTTGTTTTTTGATTTGAAATGAAGAGGGGAAGTCTTCTTTCTTCACCAGGGGAAAATCAAATCAAATCAATGGCATCATCTGCGTTTTTGTTGATTTGTATGCTTCATTCTCTGATTGCTTTAACATGTGGAGCCTTAATGATGTTTTATTCCCACGAGGTCTATGTGTTTGGCCATGGCCCTGAGACTGCAATCAAGCTGCAGGGATCTAGCCCTCGTGATCAGCTTCTGATAAAAACATCTGATTCCTTCTCTGGTTTGCTTCTCTTTACTGTTGGGTTTCTTTTATTCATGGTGTCTTTTGTCAAAGACAGAGACTTCCAAAGCTTCTTTGCTAAAGGGTGCGTGTTGCTTCACTTAGCTATGGCCATATGGAGAGTTTACTTCGAGAGGAAGCTCGAAGATCTTGCTAAAGATTGGCCTCGACAGGTCGTTGGGGATGTCACATTGGCATTGTCATGGGTTTTCTTTCTTATGTATTCATGGAGAGAAAAGTATGATTAACTTCAGGTTCAAATTTTCTTTTAGCTGCCAGAATTGTCTAAAATTGTCAATTATGACTCTGCTTCTTAATTATAATGAGCTTGATGGAAATTGATATTGTTTTCACTAGTTTTTGCTACCATTTGTGTTCTAGAATAGGGGGTGTGGGAACTGGGAAGTGAGATAGGAATTGAACATTGATTTGATTGGTTTGCGCTAACATGGTTGAGCTTGAATTTGGTTTGTGTACTGTATCTGAAAAATATCAGATGGCTATCGTTTGCAAGAGTATGCGTTTTGTCTCTCCTTATGGTTATAATCAAAGTTCCAAGTCCATGGCAAAATGAAAGTTTGGCCCATGAATTTGACACTTGGAGTGGTAGCTTGGGCATTAGTGGAAGGATGGGCAAGAACGATAGGCCTCTAGGCGAAATGACACATGAATAAACTGACACCACAGGAAAATCAGAGTGATTTTGAGCCCATACAACTTAGAGCAATTCTAGTTTGGGTGACCTCTAAGAAGTGTGTGTGTGATGATTAAACATGTCGAAAGAACTCGTGCTCGTTTGTAGAGACAACCTTCTATGTCAAAGCCAACCGACAATGCTATGTAGCACATGTAGATTGCTAAGGATGTAGGGGAATTGGGAATATTGGGGCTATCAAGTGCAGTACCTTGGGTCTGGGACTTCACAAGTGAGATTAACTTGTTTGATTTGTTGTGCTAAAGTATTTGATTGTTTTCTTGTTGTTGTCTTTCATATAGTGGTAGAAGATTCTATATCCAATTATTTGATGTTATCGATTCTTTATCATTGTTATGATGTTATATTTTGACACAGTGGGCAGAGGAATTCAAACCAAAGGTAGATTAAATAAATCAATGGAACTTTATCTGTTGTACTAATGAATCTTGTCTTGATAGTTTTCGTACTTATGTCGATGGGAAAAGATTGAAATGAATCGTGTCTTTGATGATTTTGGCACCGTGACAGTGGGAAAAGAGGTACAGAACTCTGTCTCGCTCATACTATACATATAATGTGTATTAAACGCAATTAGAAGCACTTTTGAAGTTGTGTTTTAGTTTAGGATGTCTGATGGGCTGTTTTCACTCTCTCTGGCGTATAATCATATCTAAGCTTCTCTCGGTCTCGCCTATTTATTTATTTTCCTCTGGTTTATCTGTTGCTTCGTTGTCTACTTTACACGTCCAATTTACTCTTCTATAATGCCATTTATTGATGAAGAGGATTGAAGAAGTTGAAATATCCAAATATATAATGAGTTACCTGTGTTTCAATAGCTTCACTTCAGTTTCTCAATTATATTTGTGAGAAACTTGAAGTATGCATGTCTCCATCTCCTATTAAGTAGAAGACTAGCAAATATTCCCCATAAACCAACTATAAATCCTACAGAGATGCTAATCAGCATCTCTTGTGTCATGAGTGTGTGTTCCTCCTGTTCGTACTCATTCACAACATGAACATTACTGTTGAAGCTGGTTTGTTCACTAACGCATTCTTTCAGTGGATCTCCACAAAGATAAGGGTTTCCTGCATAAGATGAAGTTTTAAAGCCTTGAAGCTGAGTTCCTAGGGGAATACTTCCTGAAAGGTTATTGTATGATACGTCCAACATACTCAATCTCGGTATTTGAGAGAGACTCGATGGAATCGGGCCGTACAAACGATTTCTCGATAGATCTAGAAAGTCCAATGATTGAAGTTGTCCCATCTCCTTTGGAATCTGTCCTGTTAATTCGTTCCTCGAGAGATTCAAAGAAACCAAACCAACGAGCTTTGTGATTTCGTTAGGAATTTCTCCGGTTAAGTGATTGCCAGACAAGTCAATACCCCTTTGAATCTCTAAGTTGTGTCCATGGACGAGCCTTTCTTGCCCTTTCCACATCAAAATAAGATCTCTCAATTGGTCTTGAACCATAGATGCATTGGATGTTCCTGTCAAGATATCAAAATTATGGAGGCAAGTTGGTATGCTTCCCGAAATAGAATTGAGCGAAATGTCCAATACTTCGATATTTCTGAGGTTACAAAGACTAGAAGGCAAGTTTCCTTGGAAGTGATTGAACCTCAAACTCAGACGAACCAAATTTG